AATTTCTACAGTATAGCTCTGACTAAGCTCATCCATGGCTGCCCCACAACACGTGTTTTAAGATTCGCTGTGGGTGGACTTAGAACTTTTCTCATTAACTGCTGTGTGGCAAGATCCTCTGATCACTCTCTGTTTGTGATCAACCTGCTCTCTTAAGTAGATCATGACGCACTCTGAAATATTTGTTTTGGTTATTGGACACGAAGGGGATACGCAGCTCATAAAGAGTTGCAAGCAACAAACTACACATCGGGCTGTCAAAAGGGGAAAGGGGTGTGGGGAGGGGAGCAAAAGGCAGCTAATGAGCAGAAGGGGTGTGCGTAAAATCCTATTTAGAGTGCCTCTCAGGGGAACAGCTGTCTCCTTGTAAACATTTTATGAGTTGCTCTGATTTCAAGTTTCAATGAAAAACATTTGTTGTGGCCAAGGGCAGAAGGGTTGGGGAGAAAAAAAAGGTGTCCATGGGGAATATTTGCTGCTTTTCCAAGTAGTAGTAGGGCAACTTAAAGTTGTATATATAGTCAAGTAAGTCTCCTTAAGTTCTCTCTTCAGGGACCAGACAAAGAAAGCAAAAACAGTGTAGCTGGGCATTATTCCAGGCAGCTTAGAAGCAGGGCCTAAAGACAGCTGCTCTCCTTCATTGTTTGTTCCTAGAAGTTATTATTCAAAGACTGAGTATATAAAAATTACATTGTAAAAAAATCTAAAATCATCTTGTCAGCATGGCCTCCAGGCCATGGTCTTACTGGATTTGGGTTTCTGTGAATTGTGGTCCAGAGTAACTTTTCCAAACTCTGTTCTTCTTTCAAAGAATGAAATTTCATGTCTACCAAGCCATAACACTGAACATCGATGGGATCTCTTCATCTTATAGTATTAAGGTGTTAACATTGCTTTTGCTTCTATCCAAAATTAGGTTATTTCCCCTACATCTCAGTATTACAAACAAGAGAAATCTCTATCTACTCTGTATGATTCATAATTTTATGAGCCAATATTATGTCTTCCACTCAACATTACATCAGTTTTTCCCTCAAAACTAAAAAAGGCTCAAATGATGCAGACTTTCCTTGTAAAGACAGTGCTCCCACATCACCCTTTTCTAGTATTATGTTGCTTTTTTGGGTTGGGGAGTCTAGACTATCATGCCTGAACATGGTGAGACAGAATTGTATTTGCACCTCCCATTTCCTTTCCTTTTACTTCTCAGTCCTTTAAGACACATTTACAATTAACATGCATTAAGGATAACTTAGAGGGCTTGTACATGAATGCGTAAACTGGTTCTCTTCAAAGAAGCTGTTTAGAGTGTTGTAGAAAAACAGAGAAATTCATTCTGTGGTTGTTAGCCAAGTCAAGAGCCATTTGCACATGTGAGACAGGCTTTGAGTACCCACAGATGAGACCTTATTCTCGTTTGTATAAAGAATTTTGATTGTATCTCCTACCAAGTTAGGATAAGGATAATATCATTCCATTTGCAGCAAATTATCAAATCCATAATTTCCAAAATCAGTATTTGCAACTCTCATTTTTGGGGTGCAATTCTTGAAACAAAACCCCCAGGAATGTTAGTATAGAATATGTGCAATTGACTATGGATTAGCCTTTAGACTATGACTCTGGATGACATGATTCACTGAAATGTATTTTTATTATGCTTACTATGCTTATATGTTTTAATGTTTAACTTATGTTTTAACTGATGTGGTATGTTTAAATGCACCACGGAGGTGCAATTGTAAGCTGCCTTGCCCCCCTCGGGGTAGAGAAAGGCGGGATATAAATAAGGTAAATAAATAAATAAATAAATGAGATACAAGTTCTGTGCAAAAAATGCATATTGTAGTAGCCACAAAATGCAGAAAAAAACACTAGGGATCTTATCACACACACACCCACTCATGCTGTTTCACCAGAAAGTGTGGCAAAATGCAGGCACATCCCATATCACATGGGGGAAACATTGCCCAACTGGGGCAGAAGTCTGCATCCTAGGAGGCTTCCACGCTAGTTGGGGACAGGGCCTCTACCAGAGGCGGAGGGCTATTGTGTGATGAACTGCATGTCCATCCCTCAACTGGCTGGCAAGTATCCTAGCATGCTTAAATTGGTAAGTGTGATGAGGTCCAACTAAATCTACAAAGAATATATATTTCACAAAAATGCACACAAAATTGCATGTATTACAAGAATTATCAAATTATATTGTCAACATGCAATGTAAATTACAAAATGAAATATAAATACATTTTGGTGCATACATTTCTTTAATAGTCAGCAACTGGTGTACAAATGGGGCAGAACAAGCTGAAACATAGAAAAATAGGAGAAAAAAACTCAGCAATTTGAGTTTCCAAACAAGATGGTATGGAAGTTACTCCTCTTATTCCCAGAATAAATAGTCAAGCTTGAGATGGAGAATGACCCAGGAACGGCCAAGACGATGAAATGGATGAGGATTGGAATGAGAGTATATAGCTCTTTTTAAATTGTTATTGCACTGTCTTTTTTGTCTAAATGCACTTAATTGTTTTTGCTTTTTGAATGTATGTATTGATGGCATCAAATTGTGCCAATATGTAGACCGCCCTGAGTTGCCTGCGGGCTGATATGGGCGGGATATAAATAATGTAAATAAATAAATTATATATATATATATATACATTGAATGAGACCTGATGATGGTAAATGATCTTCCATGGTTTACTACATCAAAGTCTAAAGTGGCAAAGATATGAAATAAACAGGACCAGACATTTCTAATGTATTACAATGAAAGAGGTTCTACTGTATACTTTCAAAAATACTGCTTGCAATGCACCACTGACTTCTTTCTTGAATCCAGGGCTATATTAACTATGATAGGAAGAGATACTTAATATGCTTGTCGATTTGCACAAAAGTAAATGAAAACTTCAATACACATTTGTGCATATTCATTATGTTTATAGATATACTGTCTTAGCATCTGAAATTGTTGTGTACTGGAATTATACCTGCAGAAACAGTACTTTTTTAAAAGATAAAAAATGGTTATCATCCATAGAATTAACCTGAGAGGGAAAGAGACATCATCTATTTTGAGATACAAATTACACTTCACTATTTGGAAATTTTCATAAATTCGGGCAAGGAAAAACAGGAATGGAAACAGTACTATATGTACCCCTAAAATTATCCTCAAAAATAGAAACTCTACTCCCTCTATGCATTTTTTAAAAAGGTATTTGTAGCTACATGCTTATATGTTTTTCCGGACTCAGATCTGAGGCACTTTGATCTGTTCTGTACTATCTGGACAAACCAAAGCCTAGCAGTTAGCAACAAATATTGTTTTCATTGTTTAATTATAGCTGCAGACTAGTACACAGTGAGCAGAAGTTATATTCAGGCCCTTATCAAGTCAAAGTAGAGTGCTGTTGTAAAATACTATAGGTGGTGAAACCAGCACCAACATTCAATAAATATCATCTCCAAACAATCTCCACTCCAGCCATCCAGGCTCCTGTATAAAAACCTTTGGGTGTAACCAAAGCAAACTATATGGGGCTTAATTTTCTTTGCTCATTGAATAGTCCCTTCCACCACCTTCAGGTCAGAATCACTCTTTATACTAGTATGTTTTCTTTCTGACATACATTCACCTGAAATACAGTTTATACCTTATGTAAAAATGAAAACTAAAGCAAGCTGTTGATTTAGTTTCATTTTCCTATTACATGTGGTCTGGGAGAAATTTGCGGTAATTGAATTGCCAGGTCTAAAGCCTTGCTATAGAGAAGGGAATGAAGGAAAGCAGAAGTTCTCATAAGGCTAAATACCAAACTTTGGGTATATCTTTCTCCTATCTAAGCTGAATTCTTAAAGTTTGTTCAATTCAAAATAAAGGAAAATTGGAGGTATTCCTTCCCCTTATTATTTGTGAAGGAAAAACACATTTGTAAAGTGAGGTTGTATGAATTAACACTAAAGACCGCCCCAAGTTAGGTTGTTAACCTTTCTCTTGTGGGTTTGTTTTGCTGTCTGTGCCTATTGTACATCCCCTTGTATGAATCTGCCTGGTCCTTGAGATCTTCAGGAGAGGCCTTTCTCTTGGTCCCACCTCTATCTCAAGCTCGGTTCATGGGAATGAGAGAGTGGGCCTTTTTTCTTAAAGGCTGCCTCTTGACTAACTCCCTGCACAGGGATTTCAGAACAGCCCCCTCCCTGATGTCCTTCCGACGGCAGACTAAAACCTTTTTATACAGGCAGGAATTTAAAGATGAAAGTTTTTAAGATCAGTTCAGGGGGTGCTGTGGTTTTTACCTTTGAATTTGTTTGAATGGTTTTTAACTGGGAATTTTGAAATACTGTTTATATTTCATCCTGTTGTAATGTTCTCATATTTGTATATTTGAAATAGCTATGCTGATGCTTTCATGTTACACTGCTTTGAGTCACCTTCGGGGGAGATAAAGCAGGGCATACATAAATATAATACAATTAAATGTTCCTTGGCCAGTCGTTTTTCCTCATTTTGTTGCAAACTGAGCAGAGACACAGATGGTGCTAAACTAAATGAACTAACTGGTGAAAGCAAAAGTGCATGTTTACTAAAATACACTGCTGGTTGAAGTAGTAGGATATACCTCTGGGATATTCAACCACAGACCACTACATCAGAGCTAGTGTTTCTGCAAAAAACAACAGAGCTAAAGTTCCACACAGAGGCTAGTTCCTGATGCACTGCCTAGATTAAAAACTGACACGTGAGCCAGAAAGTAGAGAACAGAAATAACACCCCCTTCCCTGAATGAATGTATGAGAAAAAGGGGGTTAGGCTGATTGGGTAAAGATATGCCTAGACTGGATCTAAGCAGAAAATAATCTTTCCTCTGAATTTGCTGGAGGTGGCTATCACATCTGAGATAAAGAAGTACAACTTTATACAAGTATTGGAGAATCTCTTCATATGCAATTATGCAAGTACTTGTGAATCAACACACAAATGACAAAAATAGGGAAGGCTAGGGTATTTTATTGTTTTGGGTTCCACTGGCACATGTATACGTTTTAAAGCTTCAGATATCTCTTTCAGGCTACAAAGACACATTTCATGCAACTTCTTTCTCAAACAAAGCACCATTATCCTTCTTAATGGTACTCCTCAACCATGTCTTCCCAGAAAGACTGTGAAACAGAAACTTTAGCTGATCTAACAAATGAGAGGTAACTTGCCATTTTGACTGTTATAGTGCCCTCACAATAGTAAACACCAGGCTCATTTTATTGCACCTATGAATGGCATTTCATCAGCTTATCCAAAGCAGGATAAGACAAAAAAAAAAAAAGATGACCTGGATAATACACGCCTTATATGGATACAAGAGGAGAAATTCCATTTCACAAATGAAAATACAATGAGCTGAAAATCTAAAGCACTAGTCCTGGTTTACCCCTTTTTATGATTCCAAACTTCCTTGTTTTTTCTCTTCTGGATACCAACAAGATATTTTTAATTGGCTTTTGAAAATGGGAAGGAATATATTTTGTTATGATATTGCAATATGAGTGCCATGTCAGATGTAACTATTAAAATTTCTCAAAGCTACCTAAAACAAAACAGCATGTTTATTCCATCAAAGTCCAAACCAGCGAGGAACTCCCCCTTGTCTCGGATCATCTTTCTGCCTCTGTTTCTCATCCTCCATAAATTTCTTCTGGATGTCTTCAAAAGACCCAGGTTCAATGGTTTCTTCTGTTTCTGGAAACAAGTCTGGAAACTGAAAAGTTTGTCCTCCAGCCTAAAGAAAGAAAACAAATGTTTAACTTTATGTTCCATTAGTAGCTGAAACACACTTTGGACAGCTGTGCGAAGTTTCAGCTGGTCCAGCTCTACTGCCAACCTCCATGTGATTCAGCAGAAAACTGAGGAAGTGTGGCGCCAAATATGCACAGTCTACTCTCAGTATTCATTGGTTCTGCATCCAGAGATTCAACCAACCAACCATGGCTTGAAAATATTCCGMCYCCCCCCCCCCCCCAAAAAAAACCCAAATCTTGTCTGTGTCACACACTTAGCTGATGTGTAGGTATACACTGATGTAGCCTCCCACCACTTCACAGGACTCCAGTCTCTCTCCAGCATCTTACTAACACCATTGTATATAATGGCACTTGTGTGTCCACAGATTCTGGAATCTACAAGAGACCCTACCACCAAACTCCATGAAGGATCACCTATATATGCATATATACATGTGTGTGTGTTTACAATGAGCTGAAGGCACACACAAAAACATGATTGAAATGACCCCTCTACATTCTTTCCTAGCATTCTTACTGAAACAGCAGCTGCCTCAAAAATGAACTTCAATTTTAAGTGGAACTTTAGATTTGGGATTAGCCAGTCATTGTCTGACACCCTCAACACTGTGATACACTGATTCTCGCCAAACTGCAAACTAAACAAAAGGCAGATATGGTGAACTCCCAGTAATTATACTCAATGTTGATGCACATGTCCATGTAGGAAACAGAAATATGGTACAAGTGTCTGTTGTGCCATCTTAAGAAGTAATGCCCACGTCAACATTAAAAAGCTGCCTTTGACGATCCAGAAAATCAAGTTTTGAAAAGAGAAGTAGTAACATATATCTGTATAACATCAGCAGCAAGTGTGAGGCAATTGTCTGGATCTAGCAGAAGATTATTTGATTGATGAATATTATTCAACTTCGGAGTGAGGACAGAGAAGTCTTAAAGAACCATCACACTTTCATATAATGACTACTGAAAGGCAGCATTTGCAAGGAAGTGGTGAGGCAGAGCACAATGCTCATAAGTGTCTAGGTAGTCTGGACACTCACTTATGGGTTCTTGTTGAACCCATCTTCAATTAATCCATCAACTCAAAGGATAGATGCAGCCCCTCCAAGCAATCAACTGGAATAATAAATTATTGACTCAAGAACCTTTTCCTGCCAATGCTAATATATTTTCCCTTCCTCCAGGCTGTTGGTCTTGAAACAATTTCCAGCTTGTCCCTCTCCTGTCCATTGAGAGTATGGCTATGGTAGCAGAATCAAGGGGGTTCTAATCAAAACGATGGAAGGAACAACAACTGAAGGAACTCTGGAATGGAGACAGGTGAGGAATACATCATGAAGGTGCACTTTCGTGGAAGTTTCAATTGTCTGTAAAGAAACTGCCTTCATTATGATACAACATGACCCCAATATTATATGAGGGATACCTATGGGTACATGAAACTGTGGATAATGGCAAACACTATATAATTGGACTAGAAGCATACCATGGAATCACAGTGGAAGAGCTAGAACGACCCACAAACACTTCCAAAATTTGGAAGAATTGATAAGTAAAGCTGTGGATATCAAATCTGTCGATAAAGGGATCTGCCCATAATTACAAAATGAGGGGAAGATAGCCACAGATGAAAAAAGTAAATGGAAATACAGCTCAATGAGCGTAGGAATGCCCATCCATATGTCTTCAAGTTTGTTGGTTTAGGTCCAGGAACAGCTGAAATACACTTAGATATTGTGCACTTGTTAAAGCATTATCCGTAAATATTTTAGTGCTTCACAGGCTGCTGACCAGCAGACTGAAATAAATGACATACTAGGTAAAGCATTATACTGACATGAAATAAAAAGTGATTTGTGTAATTCACATAATTCCTGAAATGCAGCATTAAAATTTACAGCAATCATTCTCCATAATGAAGAGCATTAATGCCAGCGCAGAGCATTGCCACAGACTCAATGTCTCCCATTTGGAAAACAATCATCAGTTGACCTTTTAGCTTTTATTTAACAGCAGGAACCTATTATTCGAGGATAGCATTCTATTCAGTTGACATTATCTCTTTATTTTTCCATATTGTGTGCCATGTTGACAGCCTCATTAAAATCAACCCTGTCAGCTTTCCATTCACCTCAGGTAGAAGATCTGATACAATAAAACTATCAGACAAAAACAAGGCACAGAAATATGTGTTATAAAAATAATGTCTGGAGCTATTTTGAAACTTATTTTTAATCGTTTTAGTTTACCCGAAAGATCTTGGAAAGAAACAACATATTAAACTCAGAAAGCACAAGTATTTTTGCTGCCATTCTACAAATCAAATTTTGCCTTATAAGCTAACCAGCTTTTTCAGTTGTCAAAAATAATGGTTGCTTGTTATTATTTTGGAATTACAGTATGTGAAAGACATTTAGGCCAACAGAAGTGTAGGTAAACTACACTTTGTTGATACCTACCAACATAAGAGGTCTTGTTTCCTGAACTTCTCCAAAATGTATTAATTTATGGGGATGCCATAGCATTTAACTGAATGCAATAACAGGAGATGGATTAAATTACCTTTGAGGTGCCTTCTTATTAGAATTAAAAGGAACAAAGTCTCAATGTGCAATAAATGATCATGAAAAGTTCTAGTTCTGACCCAGAACAGTTCTGATAAACTGGTTTGAAGCATTTCTTAAACTGCAATTCCTATAAGCTTTCACTAACATACTCAAGGAAGGCTTGCCAACAAGAGATTATTGGAGCAGCGCTTCAACACATGGATGACCACATGATCCCCATCCCTGATCTAGTTGGCCTAGCCCCTACATAACTTGATATTATATTCACCTCTGACTATGACCACTGTAATCTACAAAAAATGTAATTTCTTGACATTTTCCCAAAATCCTCCATTAGGAAAGACCAACCAGCATTGTAACAACAGTTCTATAGCCTCAAAGTCTCTCCTCCTGGAAGTCCAAGCCTGGACATTTTCTAGAAGCCAGTCAACATTACTTGTTTGTTTTGTTTCAGAGAAAAATCTGAAGTGGCCATGTTATTTTGGTGGCATATTATTTTACCTTAAAGCAGCTGATGCCCGGTTTACTTCTAAGGGATCAGGCAGGGTAGAAACCTTTTCAAAATATTACTAGAACAACAAAAATAACTCCAGCATGCTCACCAAAGGCAACATTGGAACACCATCAAGCAATGTTTGCATGGTTGCCATCTGCCCCCTTATATTTGCATGTACAACGTGGTCATTGAGTGGTGTTGCTACACATACTGGGGCTGGGGTCACTGCCAAGCTGAGAACTGGGAGGCCTTGTCTATCATAGACACAGCTTTTCTGTCCTCAAAGGGTAAGGATACGGCTTGCAGTGATGAGCCAAGATGCCAGTCCTTGCACCTTTCTTCTACAATTCCAACATTTGTCACTACAAGAAGTAGAGCCTGAAGGCAAAAGAATTCTCAGTAGATGTTTTGAAGAAATCCTACATGTTTTCCGCCCTCTTTTTGTTTTGTTTTAAGGATGAAGGCATGGAGAGTGCTCAGACATGACAGTCGTGCTCAACAAAATACTCTTTCAGCCCTCGGATGAAAAGAGCTCCCAGGTCCCCTTTTCAAGGCTGGGCAAAATCAAATCATGAGCAGAAGTCAATCTGTATCTGGAACCTTTTAATAAATAAAAGGCAGTGCAGACAAGTTGGCTCTTTCTACCTCTTGTTTTGCCGAGAAATGCTGATCTTGGCTGTCAGCCAGATAGGTTTTGAAAGAGCCAAGACATTACATTGAACTCTCAGAACTGAAAGCCTTATAAATCCTCCACAATACCATGCAGTAATTTTGCACTGGTCAGATTCTCAAGTGTTGAAAGCTTTATGAAAAATAGTCACCGTGCATGTTCAGTAGCTAATGTGTCTTGACCATTTTGTAATTTCAGCCATATCCAGGAATAAAGATCTATACAAAGACCCTGCCTGCTGACATACCAAAGACTTAAAAACAAAAACTCATTTCAAGTCAGATCTTAAGATCTTCTACATTTACAACTATTTGGCTATGCAGAGGCAAAATCGTCATTTCAGTTAATATCTACAGGTAGGTAAAGGTGAAGGTTGTCCCCTGACATTAAGTCCAGTCATGTCTGACTCTGGGGTGTGGTGCTCATCTCCATTTCTAAGCCGAAGAGCCGGGCGTTGTCCGTAGACACCTCCAAGGTCATGTGGCCGGCATGATTGCATGGAGCGCTGTTACCTTCCCGCCGGAGCGGTACCTATTGATCTACTCACATTTGCATGTTTTCGAACTGCTAGGTTGGCAGAAGCTAGGGCTGACAGCGGAAGCTCACGCCGCTCCCCGGAATCGAACCTGCGACCTTTCGATCAACAAGCTCAGCAGCTCAGTGCTTTAACCCACTGCGCCACCGGAGGCTCCAATATCTACAGGTACTTGACATCAATCCCTTTTAAGGTATTTGCTGCAGAAGAGGGGAATATGTATCCAAGAGGGTACATTCTGCTAATGTGGTCCCAGCAAGCCATAATTGCCAGGAGATGGGCTGCTGTGCTATATGCTTGCTGAAATTCCCATTAAGCCATCAAGGGCACTTTGCCATAACCAGTATTTAGGAAAGGGGTGGCTGTAACTGGGTTTAATTCAGGGGGAAGCATGTCACCTTTCCATCAAAGAAGTTACAAGATCTACCGTAATTTGACGAGCAACAACTCTGTACCAGAAGAAGCAGGTTGCAAAAAAGGGATGCAGGTGGCAATGTTGTGTGTTACCTGGGGCCTCTTTCTCCTATGTGCAAGAATTCAGTGAACAACTCAAGTGTAGCAGGGTTCTTAGTACTATTTAACATGGCCATTAGCCTCCAGGTCATCCAAGTGATTTAGCACCAGCTTACATCAACAAGTACACCAGAGTTCAACACCATGAAGAGAAGAAATTCAAGGATAAGAACAGAGGTCTCGAAGGCACAGAAACTTCTTTCACAAAGATAAATAACCCCACTCTAGCTTTTTGAACATGAGGAGAACACAATAATTCTGTATCATAACCAAGGTAACAAAATGTTTTCTCCTTGGGAGCGTAGGGGACATCTCAAGAACAGACTGAAACTACAGAAGGTGAGACTGACCACATACACAAATTTGAGGTCATTTGTGATGGGAGATAAATACCACCTGTGCTGAAAAGCCTCATTTGCCAAGCCTGGAGAAGTCTTCAATCTTTACAACAACTCAGTTCTTGAGCATAAAAGTCTATTCTCTACTCTCAACCATAGAACTGTATATGATGTCTAACACATCAACCTTTTCATCTTCCAACTCTTGAATGCAATGATTAATGAGTGCATATTATATTGCATAAGTTGGCCTGGAAACCAGAAGCTGATGATTTCCAGAGTAGGGAAATGTAACTGCTGCCTTCAAGACAAAACAATATTTCTCTGATATATAAGAAGACTGGTTACAGTGGTTAGTAACAAAACTAATGCAAGGAAGAATAATGCTGCCATCTACTGATCCTTTGAGGCAGCCAGCATGAAAACCATCCCAAGCAGATGGTTTCCTTTCAGGATTACCTGAAACTTGCAACAAACATGAACTTCTTTGAACCCTGAATTTGTTTACGTCAACCATCGGGTGAATTGGAGGATGAAGCTTTGAAAAAGGAAGGCAAAGAACCTCTGAATGACCAAAGATTCTGAACTAATTCTTTCTGAAAATGATATCATGGTATCGTAGGGAAGCAGTGGACCAAAGGCATGGGCAAGGGTTTATGCTAGAACATCCTGCTCACCTACGTAAAGAAAGCCTAGGTGAGGCTGTTTATTTAGGATAACCACCTCTGTTTGAAAAAGGAGCATAGTATCCCGAGTAATTTAAAACAGAGTCTTGAAATGTTTTCCCTCTCACCTCATTCATAAGTAATATTAATTTTATGTAATATTGAATTACAGGTTACCCAGCTAGAAAAACATAATAGAAACTTTCAGGGATTAGCAACTGATTAAAAACTAATCAGAAGTGGCTTCTGGGGAAAAACTGGCTATTGCTTCAAAGGCTTCCCATCAGAAGCCACGGAAGGTTAGTCATTTCGTATAATAGTGGGAAGAAACTTTTGACCCTCCAGATGTTTTGGATTTCAACCTTTATCAGCCCACCTTGCACAATCCCACAAGGGATTGTGGGAGTATGAGATAAGGGATTATGGGGGTTGAAGTCCAAAACACCTAGAAGGCAAAAGGTTCTACTTTCCTGGTTTAGAATAGTATCAAGGCCAATCAAGAAATGTTGAACAGATTAGCAGAAACCAAATAAAATTGGATATAAAATGTCCTTTTCCTCTTTCAAAATGTTATTGTGTACATATATTGAAAGATAGTTTTGAAGCAATTACAGATGCCATAAAGATATAATGCCATGCCTTAGGGAACAGATGCAGACAGGTCACAAGTCCCAAAGAAACTTTGCGCTGCATCGAACTAAAGAATCATAGAATCAAAGAGTTGGAAGAGACCTCATGGGCCATCCAGTCCAACCCCCTGCCAAGAAGCAGGAATATTGCATTCAAATCACCCCTGACAGATGGCCATCCAGCCTCTGTTTAAAAGCTTCCAAAGAAGGAGCCTCCACCACAAAGAAGAAGAAAAAAAGAAAGGCAGCAAAAAGTGAAGTGAAACCTTTAAAAAGTAACATATGATGAAAGACAATTCAGAAGTAAGGATATGATGAACTCCAAGAACACCTTGTAAAGCTAAGGATATTTCTAGATTCGAGTCTCTGTTCTTCTCCCAAACCTCCCAACCTTCTTTGAATAAAGGAGAAAGCTCAGCCTTCAGTCACACTCAGCTTCAAACTCAGTCCATGGCAGCACAATTTCTCACTGCTTCCAAAGCCTTATGAAATTCAATACATTCAGCTTTCTCACGAAATGGACAGTGACAACTAAAACTTTCAGCTAACCATTGGGATACCAGAAAAATTAAAAGGTATATACACAACAACTACCAATATTACTAGTAAGATTACATTAATTAATAACTCTTTTATTTGAAGGTTTATGTGCTAGTGACTGCCAAGTGATCAGGAATCCTACAATGTGACAGACAAACAGAACCTATTCAGTTCTGGATGAACTCAAGACAAATTAGTATATTAATTCGCCATGGGCCCATGAGCTAAAATGTTAATACAGAAGCACATAGAAATGGATGTCCATATGTAGTATCAATTCCTACCATCCTGTTACCACAACAGCTACCATTTGATTTATTACTCAAATGGCCAAAAATTGCCTGTGGACAAACGTACTTAAAAGTAATTTTTACTCTTGACTGGAATAACTAAACCCAGTCTCCCCTCTCAAGAACATAAACAAACAAACAAACAAACAAATGCTTGTTTGTTTTTAAAGATTATCCTATAAAGATTTAACAGGAAATTGTACTATGAGAATTACAAACATTGTATGGATTTACCTAAAAGGAATTTATGAAGTTAATGAATTCATTTATAGAATTTTCTGTCTTGAGACAAGAGTCTGTAGACATTATTTGACAAAAGGAAAGATCATGTCTCCACACACCCTGGAGATACGAGAACTCATGGGAAGCTTCAAAAAAGCAAAACAGAACAGTATTACAGAATTTCATAATATCTTGTGAAGTCCGGAAAGAGGTCGGTACAAGTAGTTTAGTCTTTTAGTCCAGGTCACTCAAAAAAGCTTTTTCTTGAGCAATCTTACTGGGCCCTTTTGTTCTGATAGACAAATACAGAGAAGAAAGATCTGTCTAACTTGCAATATGATTAATAAACACAGAGAAAAATGACAGTTTTCTGTATTTTCAGACCTGAAAATGGCTTAAACCAGTACTCATAATGCACACTCCCTCAGCAACAGGCCCTATCAATACAATTCCTACAAACCCAAGAGGGCATATCTACTCATCGGACTATAAGAGCAGCCATGCCAATTCAAACCAAAGGCCTGTCTTTCATCCTATTTCATACAGCAGTCAAGCAGATAGTCTTCGGTGAATTTTAGATTAACCTACTAATTTCAGTGGCATCTCAACACACACACACAGACACACACATTTATACATACAATTCAGAGGATGCATGCAATCATTGGCTAAATAAATGTCCTTCAACATCCTTCCTTTTCCAGCTTGAAAAGAATGCAATTACTCACCAGTTGTACATAGGCAACCTTGTAGTCTGGCTTCTTGATTCGTCTATTTTTGTGGTCTCTCCGCTTGTTTGAACCTGTTAAAATAGATTAAAGCTTTTCCTGATTTTTCATAAACCAAGCACTGCCCTTTTCCCTTCCTTGCAAAGGATCTTTAGAATAAGATACGTTTTTATTTGTTATGGAGATAAGCCTTGTACTTAAGGCAGGGATATTTGAATAGTACTCCAAAATTGTTCTGTGGCTATTTCCACCTAAATGTAGAAATACTTATCTTCAAATTCAAATCTTAATCCTATTGTAATTTTGCTTTGTCAGAACTGGTCTCACCTCCCCTTATATTCAAACTGGTATTTAGTGGCGCCAGTAGTCATAGCATTAGAGGCAACACCTAAGGCTTCAGTACCTACAAAAATCTCAAACTATCATGTTGAAGTGGGAAAGAGAAATTTATTCTCACCCACAGCAATATCAATGTACAAACCGAAACAAGAGTTTCTTCTTTTAACTTTCATTTAAGCAGATTTTGAAAATGATTATTTTCTGTTCATGGGAGTATTCCAAACTTGTGAAGCTTAGATAGAATGCAAGGATTATTTATTTATTTATTTACTGCATTTATATACCACTTTTTAAAAACCCCTGGGGTGACTCAAAGCAGTGTGTATCAAGCAATGGTAAGATTCAATGTAATTTCACATGTTTTGTATGTCCTAAATCCAGAAAGTCCAAACAAAAAACACACACTGCTCCCCAAATGGGGTAGGATCTACTGACTACCAGAATACGTCACTTCTGCTTTTCAGCATCATAGTTTACCAAAAAATAAAACAAACAAACAAACAAAAACATCTCTCTCTCTTTTGTCTTAATATATTTAACTGGCTGGGGAAAAAACACACAGGGGGAAAAATTAAAGCTTCCATGCCATATCATTTTTTCTTAAATATCTGTACCTATATCTCATATACAAACATACAAATGGCTGAAATCCAGACACTCAATTCACAGCTCTCCAAGTGACAAATATGACAAAATACTGTTGCAGGTTTGATTAATTGTGTGTGAATTCTGCAACAAGATTTTGAGGAGCTAGTGAGGATGAGCGGCATACAGTCATGATACTGATAAAATACAGAACATACAGAACATTTTCAGCTAAATTTCTGTTTATTCTTTATTGTAATTTCTCAGTTCCTACCCTATCTTTGTTTCCACCCACCCGGTATCCCGTGAATTTCAAGCAAAGCCAGTAACTAGTGGCTCAAGTTTCTGCAGAAACAATACAAATTGATGGTTAGCAGTGGCTAAATTCATGGAATCGCTGTGGGGATGAATAAGAATAACACCAACGAGAAACTTTTATAAGGCTTTTGTGCAAGTCCTATTCACCTCTATTGGCCTTGGCAATGGTTATAGCATAAAAGGCTGTGTTGAAGACTTTATGTTTAGTTGTATGATATATTTTATTTTTGTTGGTATTATGTGTTTTTAAGATTTTTTCAATCTATTGCACAGTTTACTGGCAAGATTTGTTTGGCTGAGAGTGTGTGACTTCATCAAGGTCACTCAGTGGGTTTCTATAGCCAAGTGGAATTCCATAGCAAAGTGGAACTTTTGGACATTGCGACACTGGATTCTCCCGACTTGGCGTTGGCATATTGGTATGTTAGCTTGTTGTTAATGAATTGTTGAATTAGTATAATGTTTTTAAAAGGATTTGATAGCTTAATTGTGATTTTGTTGAGATAGATAGATAGCATCTTCGAATGCTTATGTAAGGCAGCCCTGAGTCTCCCTGTGGGGAGAAGGGCGGGATAGAAATTTATGTAATAAATAATACATAATAACTCCAGCACTCAGACCACTAAACCACACTGGCTTTCATGTTTTGTGTTATTCAAACACTATGTTTCAATGCAGATTTTGTTTTGTTTTACTTTGTCAATTGTTATGTACACTTAACATGGACTAATATCGCTAGCATTAAAATAGATTCAATTGTGATGTGCTCAAAAAATGTCAATTGTGCCAGAACATGTCGGTTTTTCAAAATCTTAGTTATCTCTATTGGATTATGCTAAAATATTATAAAGCAACTTACAACATTTTGTAGTGGAATAATTTAAAATGAGTTTTGGAGTATTTTCTGTTCTTTTGGAAATTCCAGCATAACCAAAGTTAGTCAAAGACTTAACTTTATATGATGAGACCTCACATACTATTTATAATTAATTTCTCTAATTTATTTATTCCATTCATTTTACTTCCATTCAACTTGTTTTCTTTCTTTGATTTAAAATGTGGAGATTTCTATCTTCTTCAGTGGATTTGCTTTTTAAATTAACTTTGCTATATTTATACTGCATGGCTGGCTTCTGTATATACTATGAATATTGCTTAATGGGTATTAAAGACACTTATTTTATTTATTTATTTATTTTGCTTTATTTCTATACCGCATTTTTCAGCCCTTAACAGGCGACTCAATGCGGTTTACATGGTACAATTATCAAACAGTGTCAGTGCAATTAAAACGTAACAATGCAACAAACAGGATAAACAGCATCAATCCACAACAGTTAACAATCAACAAGACAGATCAACAAAACAGACATAACATAACGCCTCAGTTGAAATCAGATCCGTTCTCATAATCCTTGTGCCATTCCTATGTTCCATTTACCGTCTTCCTATGATTGGTTGCACTGCTTAACCAAACGCTTGTTCATAAAGCCAGGTTTTAACCATTCCCCGAAACGTCAGCAGCGAAGGTGCCTGTCTGATGTCTGCCGGTAGGGCATTCCATAGCCGTTTTTATATTCTACTTCCCATGCGTTTTTATATTCTATTATGATCAATATAGGTAATATATATATTAAATAATAGAAGAAATATTAGCAATAGCTGGAATGTACTGTCAGCCTTCCATATTCACTGGGGTTAGGGGAGGAGAACTGCAGTGGGAAAACAGAAAATAAAAAAGCACTCTTTTTTGTATATGAGAGAAGGATCTCTGCTGGAGGCTGACCACAGAATCACGCTGGAGGACCTACAAATGTACAGAAAAGTGTTCTCTCTGGGAAACTGTAGGCCCTCCAACAAAGTCCAATTTACACAGAAACTGTTGACACTGCAGTGCATAATTTCCTTTTTTCCTTACTGTATAGAATCCACTAATTCTTAGCAAGCAATTGCTTCTCTTAATGTAGAATTTTGAAAGAAAGAAATATCACTTAAATGAGGGGTTGGTTTGTCTGTTTTTTAAAAATGAGAAATGTACATATTCTTCTCATGGAAACTTAAAAGACTCACCATGCTGTATCCTGGTTCTTATAGCTGCCACAGGGATACTGTATATACTTTCAAGGTAATCCTTCAGTTCCACTCTGGTCATCCTGTGCCAATTGCAATACAGGCAATTAATACAAGAAGAAATACAGCACACATTTAAATTTTAGAAAGGTCGAAGGAGATAAACAGGGAACCATATAAGCCATGATTTTTGAAGGTATTTATTTATTTATTAATTATTTCTTTATTTCATTTATATACCACTTTTCTCAACCCCTGGAGGGACTCAAAGCAGTTCACGACAAGGAAAATACCAAAATTCAATGCCTCACAGAGTATAAAATATAACACATAATTAAAACAGCATATAACAAAATATTAAAACTAGAAACTATAAAACATTGAACATAGACAACATAAAACATAAAAGTTTTGCTAGAGGTGGTTAATTGTTCTAATGTAGAAAAAGTCATACAAAATGCAAGCTTTTAACACAGATAAGAAAACCCAGGAGAAAATATTTAGCCTAAAATCATCACCACAACCACTTCTTTCCTTTAGGCATTCATGTTTCCAAAACCTCCTGCTGAAATAGTAACAACAACAACAACTTAATTTTTATACCCTGCCTCTATCTCCCAAAGGGACTTGGGGTGGCTAACATGGGGACAAGCCCAATCAACAGAGTTAAAAATGTAACACATTAGAATGCATAACAACGTTTAAAACAATGTAAACAACATTTTAACAAAATATAAAACAAGCATCAAAACAATAGGATAGTTCAAGTCTCAATTTGGGTGGGTGGACTGGTACATAACAATTCAAAGGATAGGGCTAGTGAGTAAAGTGTATAGGTTGTGTAGCAGCATTAAGAATAAGAGCAATATAACAAGGTCATTCTAACTTTGGATACAGCAGTAGTAAAGTGCATGGTCAAGATTTTAGATCCTAGTTGGGGTCAGTTATCAAGGGAATCGTTTAGTCCAGGGGCCCTCAAACTTTTTAAACAGAGGGCCAGGTCACAGTCCCTCAAACTGTTGGAGGGCCGGATTATAATTTGAAAACAAACATGAATGAATTCCTATGCACACTGCACACATCTTATTTGTAGTGGGAAAAAACACTTTAAAACAATACAATAATTAAAATGAAGAACTATTTTAACAAATATAAACTTATTAGTATTTCAATGGGAAGTGTGGGCCTGCTTTTGACTGATAAAATATGATTGCTGTTGTTGTTGTGGTGGTGGTGGTGGTGGTGTGCTTTCAAGTCATTTCAGACTTAGGTTGATCCTGAGTGAGGGCCGGGTAAATGACCTTGGAGGGTCGCATCCGGCCCCTGGGCCTTAGTTTGAGAACCCCTGGTTTAGTCAAATAAAATGTCTTCTTTGGCTAAGAGACGGTCAACAAGGAGGATACGGAGCCTGTACTCCCTTGGAAATAGCAGGCTTATGATTTGGATACTGAAGTGCCAGTGTCCAATTGCTTCAATTGGTCCAGAATACCATGACGAAGGTTCAATCTGGAGTCATTCAATCTGATCATGGTGTAATGGTATCACCGGAGCTCTCTACGAGCCACCTTTGAGCTCTATTCAAAGTGATATTCTGATACTGAAGATACCTAACTGGCCTGCATCCAGAATATTTCAAAAATGCCTCTCTCCTCTGCCACAGCAGCCCACCAGAAAACTCAATTTTATATTTGAAGGGAAGGACAGTTTCTCTGCTACTACTTGTACATCAGCCAAGCAACCATAAAAAGGTTTTGTTTTTTTTTTATTGCCATGAGTTTAGCTCCATCATTGCCCAATTTTAGACAAGCAGTGGAGGCAATCTGTCTCCTTTTTAGAATTTAGGTTTCCTGACCAGGGTTTTTACTGCTGTTCCTGTTGTTTTCATCAGTTGTTTGTTTTAAACAATAACTTGTTTTTGTCTTCTTTGTTATTGTGAAGCTGCTCTGCTGATTTTTCATGGGGCTGTTTTGCTTATTGTATGCCACCTTGAATGCTCCTGTGGAAAGGCAGGGTGGACATCAAAGGACGTCGACGCTACAACAGCTGAGGTCCCAGAGGGTCCATTCCAATCACACCATGACACAAGAATTCAAGCAGCAGTCCTTGTTGGAAGTCCAGGACATCTGCTAGAACATGACTTCAGAACAACCCTTAGCCACATTTAAAGAACAGCCACAGGCAAAAGCATCACACTGATTAAAATAGCACTGAGTGTGTTTACTTTAAACAAATTGCCCTTGCTGGCTAGTAGCTATTGGCATTTCCAAAAACAGGCCTGTGACCTGAAGAACAAAATTCCACATCCTTGCTATTTCATCTAATACTGACCGCAAACACTTTTACTTTGAAGCATGCCCTATTGAAATCAGTGGCTTACTTTCAAGAAAACACGGCTAGAATGGCTGAAGAATAGCACCCTATGAGTATCAAGTAAGAAAAAGACTTCAAAGTTGGCTTTTGATGGCAAAGATAAATGTATAGAGCTCTTCAACAGACAGAAAGCATAAACGTACAGAACTCACACTTTAGTTTCCATCAGAATATTCACACTGAAATGCCAGTTCTTGCCCACCTCTCTAGACTCAAAGCTGATCTTGCTTGATTTTTTTAAAAAAAAATGCTCAATTTTATTCCTTACAATGATTTTTATCCCACTTTTAGGACATAAATACTTCAAAAGCACTTTACAGCTAATGTTAGTGTGCATTATTGGTCACTATCATACGTATTAATTTAGAGGGCTGATAGCCTGCCTTACAACTGAATGGTCCTTAAGGCAATGTATAGCAAACTACTATAAACAGGCCCACCCACAAAGTTTACACTTGCAAAGTATACTCTTTCCCTAATACGATGAAAGTGTAGCAACTGTTCCACATCCCAGGCAAACTGCCAGCAAGAAAACCCTGGAGACTCGATGACACTGGTGGGTGCCGTACCCGATGCCATTCAGCCATTTCCATTCCCCACCAGCCTGCACTCTTGAAGCCTATTTCCAATCTCTTTTCATTTTTTCCCAAAGTTCTTTCATCCCTTGCCACATCCAGACAAAAAATAAGACTGGTAAGCATCCTTTTTTTTCTTAAAACCACGTGACTTATCGTAAGCAACATTTTGACTTTTATATCCTGAATGACCTGGTGAAGCAATAGTCTTAGTCTTTCACATTTGCTCAGGTTAGGGTACAAGATCCTTATGAAAGTGAAACTGCATCAAATTAAAATACGCTTTTAAAAAATCTGAAAGCACACCCACTCTAGCAACCTCTAGAAGTACCCTATGATCAACTTTGACCAGACAATGACCATAGAGTATCACTGGAGGACCTAGGGTTTCTTAGAGAGAACATATCTGCAAATGTGGATGGCCAACTGAATCGCATTTGTTAATGAAGTAAACATATCACAAGTGATACAAAGTATGACTGTTCAAAACAAGAGAATCTCCTAAGCATCTTGAGACACACCAGTAAAAAGTAACTGAATTCTTCTGGAGAAGTGTTATCCTCATCCTCATTTAAGTGAATATTCCGCAGGGATTAAGGCAGGAGTCCTTAATTAAGGGTCCCCATTTGAGGTCCATGGAAAAAATGTCAGGGGTCTGTGAATTGGGTTGAACTCTATAGACAATATAATATGAACTTAGCATGATTCTTATTTTGATGTAACATGTTCTGAATGCAGTGGATAACTGCTTGTAAAAATATTGGTAAGAATGGCAAAGATGGTTTTAGGATGCCATAGGAAAGCTTGAATTTCACAACCTCTGAGGATGCCTGCCATAGATGCAGCCGAAACGTCAGGAGAGAATGCTTCTAGAACATGGCCATACAGCCTGAAAAACCTACAACAACCCAGTGAATTTCTAAATGTTGGCCAAAAATGACAATTTGAACAGAAGTTGCACCAGATATTGAAATTATTGGAAAGTTGTAGAAAGTAATTTTAAATAATTATAAAATGTAATCTAAAGACATGACAATGTTGAGTGCTGTAAAAACTATCTGCTGCTACATTTTGAGAAGGGATCTGTGGTTTTCACCTTACTGGCAAAAGGGTCTGTGGAACAAAAAAGGTTAAAGGGATACACATGCTAGAATGCTCTCCCCACTCTACTGTATCGTACAGCCAAGAGGGACAAACATCTGAGTTCGGGGTATTGGGCTGTGTAAGTGTTGGCAAGGAAAGTTTTTAACTTGCCCTATAATTGCCCCACACAGTGTTCTCACTCGTGGAGTGGGTCACTCTGGGAATGCAGAAGTCATTCTACTGAATGAACAAACATATTTTCCATGCATGTACTTACTCCATGGGAATCCGGAATTGCACAGTATCTTCTGGCTGTGGAATACCAGGCCTTACCAGTGTTAAAAAGTAATCTGTCCGGAAAACCCGCAGTTGAGGATTTCCATACTGGTACAGGGGATAACTGTAGACAAAAAGAAAAAGAATCAACAGCTCAGAACAATACACTAAAGCAGAAGTCCTCAAACTAAGGCCCGAGGGCCAGATATGGCCCTCCAAGGGTCAACCAAAGTCTGAAACAACTTGAAAGCACATAACAACAATCATATCTCATCAGCCAAAAGCAGGCCCACACTCTCCATTGAAATACTAATAAGTTTATATTTGTTTAAATTGTTCTTTATTGTATTGTATTGTTTTTAAGTGTTTTTTGCACTACAAATGAGATATGTGCAGTGTAAATAGGAATTCATTCATGGTTTTTTTCCAAATTATAATCCAGCCCTCCAACAGTTTGAGGGACTGTGATCTGGCCCCCTGTTTAAAAAGTTTGGGGACCCCTGCATTAAAGGTTACAGTTAGCTTTTGAAAAACTTGCTTAATCCATTCATTACCAGTATGTTAGAATGAAATTGTCTGAGTGAAGATATTTAAAATAAGCATGCTCTCTAGTCTTCTATGTATTTCTCAACCAAAGTGGACATACTGTTTGCAACAATCTGATATAATGCCAGGAGATATTGATATCTCACAAACTTCATTACAAAGAACTACAAAGGCATTAAGTACTGTGTACATTGAAAAATAAAAGACCTATTTTCATAAATGTCACATACTGCAGGCACTGGGAAAGAAATGCATCCCTTCCGAATCATGGGAGTTCTGGCTTGGTGAGGCCACAGCATATTTTGGCAGAGAAGGCCAAAGGCCTTGTAAAAGGACAATTCCCATGATTCCATAGTACTAAGCCATGGCAGTTAAGTACAAATTGCATTCATTCTACAGTGTAGACCAAGTGTGGGCAAATTTGGGCCATCCCTCCAGGTGTTTTGGACTTCAACTCCTACCACCAGTTAGGAATTGTGGGAGTTGAAGTCCAAAACACCTGGAGGGATGGCCCAAGTTTGCCCACACCTGGGCTAGATGCATCCCAGAGAAACACTAGGGAAGATCTAGACCAGGGGTCCTCAAATTATGGCCCGAGGGCCAGATACGTCACTCCAAGGTCATATACCTGGCCCTTGCTCAGGGGCAACCTAAGTTTGAAACAACTTGAAAGCACACAACAACAACAATCCTATCTCATCAGCCAAAAGCAGGCCCACACTTCCCATTGAAATACTAATAAGTTTATATTTGTTTAAATTGTTCTTCATTTTAATTATTGTATTGTTTTTAAGTTTTGCACTACAAACAAGATATGTGCAGTGTGCATAAGAATTCAATGTTTTTTTTTTTCCAAATTATAATCTGGCCCTCCAACAGTGTGAGGGACTGTGACCTGGCCCTCTGTTTAAAAAGTTTGAGGATTCCTAATTTAGACGATGGTGGGATTTGAACCAGCGCCTACTATTCCCTTTTGATTAGAGACCATTCCCACTGCACAATCACACCTAGAGGAGCCAGGGAAAGCGGGACCACAGCGTTTTAAGGCTGCAGTGCGGACGCCCTATAGCTCGACAAGCACCCAGTCTCCTCCCTTTATTTCTCTCTTCCCTGAAACTTGCAAAAAGGACTCGAGAAAGGACTGGCACGAGGTATGGAGCAGGAAGGAAGACTTCCTCCTACGCTACTCACAGGATCCGCCTGGCCATCGCAAACCCGGGCCGCAGCTTCCTGAGGAGGAGGACATCCGGTGGAGGCGGAGCCTAGAGATGTGTGGGCGGAGCCTATAGATAGGAACCCGGAAGTAATGTACTGTATTGGAGTCTCTTAAATTATAAGTCCGTGAAAAGGAGGCTCGCCCATCTCTGCACGTTTCGCAATGATGACGCCTCTAGGTTTTGGAACTTCAACTCCCAGAAGCCTCAGCTGCCTCAGCCAGTGATCAGGAATTCTGGGAACTGAAGTCCAAAACACTTGGCAAGTCAGAGTTTGGAAAACGCTAAATCAGAAGTCTTTCTTAATCATTGAGGTTAGGGAAGAGGTTCCCATTCCCAAGAGAAAATGCAAATAAAAGGAGGGGGAGGGTCATCCTAAACGAATGTTTTGCAAACAGATAGATCTTCCTGCCCTTTTCTTCTTCTTCTTCTTCTTAATGTAATTTATTATTCACCAGCCTTGCTTTCACCTGGAAGGCGCCCTAGGCTCAGGTGCTCTTCCCTCTCTGGCGAGGATGTGTAGTTCTCCCCGCGTCGGACTGCATCTCCCATCACTCTTCTCTAGCATGGCACATCCCGTGGAAAGGAGTGATGGGAGTTACAATCCAGGAATATGTGGCGGGACAACTGTTGTTTAACCACTGTTCCCCTAGCTGCGAGTCTCCCCAACCTTAGGTAGCAGGGCCAGTGGCAAAGAATGCTAGGGCGACTAAAATGATCAAGGATCTGGAGAACAAGCCCTATGAGGAGCGGCTTAAAGAGCTGGGCATGTTTAGCCTGCAGAAGAGAAGGCTGAGAGGAGACATGATAGCCATGTATAAATATGTGAGAGGAAGCCACAGGGAGGAGGGAGCAAGCTTGTTTTCTACAGCCCTGGAGACTAGGACACGGAACAATGGCTTCAAACTACAAGAAAGGAGATTCCACCTGAACATAAGGAAGAACTTCTGATGATATTTTGATAGCTGATACTGAGTTCTCAGTGCTACACTGTTTCCCCAACGGCGGTTGTGAATAAGGGAACAGAACATGTGTCCGACCACAGTGCTTGCCCAAGGGGCAGAGTGAGACACCAAGGCCCTTTGGCTTAGAACAGGGGTCCTCAAACTTTTTAACCAGAGTGCCAGGTCACATTCCCTCAAACTGTTGGAGGGCCGGATTATAATTTGAAAAAGCATGAATTCCTAAGCACACTGCACATATCTTATTCGTAGTGCAAAAAAAAAAAATTAAAAACAACGAAGAACAATTTTAACAAATATAAACTTATTAGTATTTCAAAAGGAAGTGTGCACCTGTTTTTGGCTGATCAGATAGGATTGTTGTTGTGTGCTTTCAAGTCATTTCAGACTTGGGTTGACCCTGAGCGAGGGCCGGGTAAATGACCTTGGAGGACCGTACGCGGCCCTCGGGCCTTAGTTTGAGGACCCCTGGCTTAGAAGGTAGTGAGTAGTTGGCTTAGAAGGAAGGATAGAAGGGAGAAATACAAGGAGTGTTGTAAAATGAATCTAATCCAGTTTATAGAGCTGTTTTGGACAACAGAGTTGGCCATGATTTTTTTGCAGGCACCTAGAATAATAGTGGATGGGCCTCCAGTTTGTGGGGAGGCTGGATGTGGGCTACCGTCTCCTCCCTTCAGTGTGTTTCCCAAACCCTTGTTTATCACTTCTCAAGAAACAACTACCATTCCTTCACTTTTACAGTTTGTGGGGAGCCAGGATGTCTCCCCCCCCCCCGTCTCCCCCCTTCACTGTTATGTGTTTCCCAAACCCTTGTTTATCACTTGTCAATAAATACCTAAAATTCGTTCACTGTTATCTCTGTGTTAAATGTGTTCACTGGTATACTCCCACGGATTATGTGGCGGTTTCTGTGTCCCCCATCCACTACGTTACTTCACTAGTATCCTTCCGCCCCTGCGTTCCGCAATCCGCATTCCAGAAGCAGCACTCCGGAAACAGCGTAGTGCCATGAGGCCTCAGTACGAGCTATCATACCAAACTTCCTAACTGTGAAAGCTGTTCAGCTGTGGAACCCCCTTCTACACTGCCATATAATCCAGATGATCAAAGCAGATAATGCACATTATCTGCTTTGAACTGGGGTATATGAATCTACACTGTTATATAATCCAGTTCAAAGCTGATAATCTGGATTTTATATGGCAGCGTAGAAAAGGCCGTAGTTGTATTAGGATGTGGAACAATGACTTCAAACTACAGAAAAGGAGATTCCATCTGAACATTAGGAAGTTTAGCAGTGGAACTCTGCCCCGGAATGTGGTGGAGGTTCCTTCTTTGGGGGCTTTTAAACAGAAGTTGGATGGCCATCTGTTGAGGGTGCTTTGAATGCAATTTTCCTGCTTCTTGGAAGGGAGTTGGACTGGATGCCCATGAGATCTTTTCCAATATAATGATTCTATGATTCTTTAGCCTTTTCTGCCAAAATGTGCTGGTGCCTCACCCAACAACTCCCCATGATTCCCTAGCAATGAGCCATGGTAGAAAAAGTGGTCTCAAGCCGCACAAGTTCTACAGCATAGATTTGCCCTGAGACTGAAGACCTGTCCAGCATTCTATTTCCACAGGGACAAGCAGACATTAAAGAATTCATCAAGTGCTCTGGCCTATTTTCTGGATAATTTTTGGAATTATCTCCAGAATGAAATAATTCAACAGTTCATGCTCCACAAATTCAGTCTGTATCTTACTTTAATCAAATAAGTTTTTTCCATTATTCTATCAGGGACTACTATCATCACCTTACTTTCCTTCTTTGCTAACCTAAACAGGCAGTAATTAATTATTTCTTGTGAGTTATCCCATCCCCTTGATGTAGTGGTGGGAATCTGGCACAGTATTCCAAGTTGGGTTGTGCCCTAGATTTCTAGAAAGGCATTATGAAATTGACCATTTTGTTTTTGAGTTCTGTCCATGCAATAGGAACATACAGGTCAGATAATTCAGCCATCTAACTTGGTATTGTGAATTCTCCAGGACTTCAGGCAAGATCCTTTCCCAGCCTGACATGGAAATACCAGGCATTAAACCTGGGATTTTCCATTTCTATTAGTGTTGCACCATTAAGCAATGACCTTCCCCTACATCTTTTTCATGGGTTAGTGGCCATCAGTGTGTATGTGAACATGGGTTTTTTTTAATCCCACTGTCACCTGTGCCATTCTGATGCCCATTTCCTCTCTTTGGAGAGAGCCTATTGGAATTCCTTGTATTCCCTTGTCATTTGACAATATCCACCGAGGGAATGTTTCTGGACTTTGCATGGATACTTGAAACTGCAGATAGTAGGTAGAGGTAAAGGTTTCCCCTTGACCTTATGTTTAATCGAGTCTGACTCTGGCGGGTGGTGCTCAACTCCATTTCTAAGCCGAAGAGCCAGCGTTGACAAGGTCATGTGGCCTGCATGACTGCATGGAGCGCCATTACCTTCCCACCGGAGTGGTACCTATTGATCTACTCACATTTGCATGTTTTTGAACTGCTAGGTTGGTAGAAGCTGGGCAGGAGCTCACCCTGCTACCCAAACTCAAATTGCCAACCTTTCAGACAGCAAATTCAGCAGCTCAGCGGATTAAGCTGCTGTGCCACCAGAGGCAGATAGTAGCAAACACTATTATTTTCAGTGGGACAAATAGTGACAGTATTGAGAATAATACAAGGGCCCTAAGCGAGTAAGTGAAACTGTGGATAAGTAGCACGTTTAGGGGTCATACTATACTTCAATGTTGCAAATGGCAAACCTGATCACCTCACTGCCCATAATAGAACATATCTGCTTTCTGTTCCTTAACAATTTTAAGTTGTAATTCCATCACAATTACATTTCCTTAGGATCATTTGGTGAGTAACTTTTGTCAAAGGCCTTTTGACTGTAAGCAATTTAGTAGGGTCCAGTCCATCCTGATGCATTCCTACAACCATCTGGAAAATCAGTTGACAGGAAATAGCTAAGCCTTCAAGAATTTTAGAAAGAATAAAAGTTCTCAATGTATCATTATGGTCGATGTATACCATATTATTACACACTATTAAATCTCTCTCTATGAATTTTAATGGCAACTGCAAAAGCAGTTTGATAATATTTTTATATCTGTACTTTTAAAGGCTGTGGCTATTCCAAAACATATTTATCAATGTTATTTAGTCAGAGCCCTACAAGTCTCTGTGCCATCTTAGGCATTCCAACAAATATTCCAGGGATAATATTTTCTGCTTTAATAGTTATCCAAGGTAACTGGAAGCACTATATGAGTAACTACATTGAATTTAAACCTTTTGAATGACTCTTCAAATAAGATTTTGCATTACAGTTGACATTCTCTGCCCTTTGTATCACTATGTTCCTTGGTTTGGCCATTGGAATGAGTATCTTTACAGCAGAAAGATTTGGCTATCACCCATCTTCCATGCAACTTCTAGAACGATTCCAGCAGTGTTGCCTCTGAAAAATCCTGCAAATCTCTTCAAAAGACAAGCGAACAAATGTCAGTGTGCTGGAAGAAGCAAAGTCCACTAGCATTGAAGTGATGGTCCTCCGCCATCAACTCCGCTGGACTGGCCACGTTGTCTGGTTGCCTGATCACCGTCTCCCAAAGAAGTTACTGTACTCCGAACTCAAGAATGGGAAGCGTAATGTTAGTGGACAGGAAAAGAGATTTAAAGATGGGCTCAAAGCCAACTTTAAGAACTCTGGTATAGACACTGAGAGCCGGGAAGCCCTGGCCCTTGAGCTGCACTCCAGCTGGAGGTCAGCTGTGACCAAGAGTGCTGTAGAATTTGAAGAGGCACAAATGGAGGGTGAAAGAGAGAAACATGCCAAGAGGAAGGAGCGTCAAGCCAGCTGGAAACCAATGCCCTCACTGCGGGAGATCATGCAGGTCAAGAATAGGACTCCACAGTCACCTACGGACCCACCTCCAGTACACTGATCTTGGAAGACAATCCTACTTGGACAACGAGGGATCACCTAAGTAGTAGTAGTAAGTAGAATCCTGAAGCTGCCTTCAGAAGCATACCAAGACTGACTTGTTTTCTTTTCAATATTCTCAACTATGGTGGTTAGACAGTATGCATGGTTTAGTGGTTTGAGCGTTGGACTACAACTCTAGAGACTAGGGGTGAAATTCTCACTAGCCATGGAAATCTACTGGGTGGACCTTGGACAAGTCCTTGCCAATAAAGTGTACATCTTTGAAAAAAGATACATCCTCAGTCAATTGTAATAGAAGACAAAGAATAGCTAGGCATTTGATATATAGCTGAAGTATATCGGTCACACTTTATTTACAAAACCAGAGGACTCATACACTGCAATCTACAGGGCAGCGTAGGGTTGGGAAAATAAAGGACACACGCAGCAGGTAGTAAAAGGTGTCAGCAGGGAGTCATCTCGATTCCAGACCAATGGTTCTAGAAGATGTGTGAACTCTTGAAAAAAGCAGTAGACAATCCAGGCTGATGTTACAACTATGGTTTTGCTTAGGAGAGGGAACGCATCCACATTTGAAAAGGGAAAGAGAAGCCAGCGATCTTTAACCATGCCACCGCCAGTGATGATTCTGCCTGCAGGCACCTTCCCGGTCTTTACTTCCAGCGTCCTCCAACTTTGCCTTTGGCTCCGGCCTTCTTGCTGCTGTAATGCAGGAAAGGAGGAAAAACAGGTCAGTGTACCTGACACAGTTATTTCATTTACTGCCCTTAAGTCTGCCATTTCATTAAGAAGTGTGGAGTGTCCAATCACCAGTACAGATTGATTGGAAATCCCTTCTGTGGGGTGCATTAGCATTAAAATGGATGAAACAAACTTCATTTTTAAATGTTTTCTCAAAGCCACTACAAGTTTCGCTTGAGTGATCACGATGGCCAAATCGAGCTCCTGGAGCAATTTTATCTCAACCTAAGTAACCCTATATCAGGGATGATTCCTGGTCTGTGACCATAATAATAAAATTCATTCATATATCTTGTGGCCTAGCCATATTGTTGACCACAACACCAATGTAGTTGCTGGCTATAGTTTCTGGCACTTCAAGTTCAAGAACATCTGGAAAGTAATATGATTTCCACCCCTATCCTGTTATGAACCTTTGATGGTCACCACATGGTGTTAAAAACTGGGCTGTGGTTTCACACAAGACTTGTAAAAAAATAAAACACCCCCATGGGCTAGTGTCTCATATTCTTCTAAACATGGTTCAGATGGTCCCCATATTGCTTCATTTGACATGCAAATGGGAAAATACCCCAAACATGCATAACTCTTACCTTCCTGATGTGAGGGAGGTATATGAGTGCGTTTCAGATGAGTAAATTAATCTGTTGTTAGAATTTCTGAACTGCAGCAGCAACAGATTCCTCTGACTGGGTAAATATTTGCATGCTGTTTAAAGGGTATTACCTTGCCCAGCCTGTAGACAGCCACAGGTTTTCTGACCTGAGCTTTGAATATAGGCTCCTCGAGAAGATTCCAGTAGGAAAGGGAAGGAGTTCATATTCAAGAGCAATAAGGAATATCTGAAAGCCTTACATGGTTTCCAGTGCCAGTGAATCTGTTCAGCAGTCATTTCATGTACAGGAGTTGTTGTCTCAGTGGCATACAGACATGAGCACAAACACACAGCCACATACAGTGCATACTTTACCTGTCAAGTTAACTTAGCAGGGCAATCTGTTCTGAAAACAACCTTGGACATGCAAAACAAGCAGCTGACATGTCCTTTTCAAAGTACAGAGATTACTGTAACCCTAATCCTTTACCTTTCTGCGGCCATAGTTAGCAGTAATGTCTACATGACAAACATTATTACAGTGATGTTACACTGGCACAGAAGGTAAATTATATATGCCCTATTTTGGGCACACTTTGCAAGACCAAAGATCATGCTGATAGGATTCGCAAAGTTGAAAATCTTCTGTACACATCACCATCCTGCTGCACAGTGGGTCCCTGTCTACATTCAAATACAGTGTAAAACCCTTAGTACCCATTTCAAAATTGCCCCTGTTTACATTCAGCGTAAACCCCTTAGTACCTGTTTCAAAAAAGTCAGATAATAGTTGCTATCCTGTATGGTTCCACATAGCACTGAAGTTTTGCCTGATGAACTGGGCTACAGCTGGACATACATCAATTTCCAGACCTACTACAAAGTTGTTGCAGCCCCTCACCAACCATGGCTATTCTGTGCCTTGTGAGAGTAGAGGGAAATTACAAACACATTTGGCTATGTCTGTGTAGCAAGACATGAAATGGAATTCTCTTTCTCCTTCTACACTGACAAAATCCCCAGCAAACCTATCATTGAGTTGCTGCACCTCTCTCCATGACTATTCTGAGCATCTGACTATGCTCTGTCATCAAACACAAAATGATTATGTCTGAGATCAGTGGAGGATGTAATAAATCTCCACATAAACAAAAGACCATGCATAGGTATTAAGACTGATTGTGCCTTAGCAGGATGCTACTCAACCTGTGCTATATCTGTTTCATAATAACAAACTGTTTCTCAATCCAGAATATCACAGCTTCCTAAATCATTTTAAACATCAGACAAGTACCGTTTTGTCTTTAAAATCTAGATAACATTGATCCCTTTGAATTACATATGATCCTGCAATATTCCTTTGTACCAGTAAGGTATTACTGTTTAAAGCACTGGCTGATAATTAGAAGGGCCACATTGTAAGCCGTAATACACATTAAGTGCATCTTCAAACATCTTAAGCCCCATGCACGCATTTAAAACAAACCAGTAAAAAAAAAAACCACCTACACCCTATTTGTGATATTTCGGTTGTTTTTCTTCCCTTGGTGAGGAAATAGTGTGTTTTTATGGATTGTAAGCAGTTACATGTGGCAGATCTCATTACTCCCTTGGAACACAATGCTTTGGTCACCAGAAAACATTGGCAGTGCTATAATGTTCTACTGATAGGAAAACAAGGCAGTGTTTTTTCTTGCCTTTCTGCGCAATACTCTGTGATCCTGGGCCTTGAACTCTTGCTAATCTTGCATGAACTTAATAGTTTGTGGGAGTCCTTCCCTACTGCCCCCCCCCCGCCGCCGCCGCCGCCGCCGCCGCCGCCAATGTATGCTCTAAAATTCCCCCTTTCGTTGGACTACATTTCTCTTCTCAATGCCTTTTATTTCTGATATATTAATGGCACATGCAACAACAAAGACAAAGAGCAAAACAAGCAGGGAGAAAACTGAATTAGATAGAGAGAAGGGAAATGAGAAGGTCATAGGACCAGGTGAAAAGAACCAATCAGCCATGGCCACATGGTACAAATTGCATGTGGCAGAAGCAAACCTGGATGTGATTAGTGTTAGGTGGCATCCTGTTGCTTCCAATCTCAAAAATAGCTCATACTTTTTAATAAAAGTTGCTCTCATTTCAATAATACTCAGCAACATAGTAGTGTACTGTACTAATAGATGAGCTTTTCAGAGATTGACCAATAAGACTGGGTTCTTTTGCACGAGGGTTATTGGTTTGCTTCAGTTTCACCAACATTTTCTTAAGGGAAGGGAATAGGGTAAAATTTGTCCCCCGTCTGTACCTTTTCTCCTTCCAAGAAGAAAACAAGAGTAAGAAGACTGAAGTGTCTTCTGCAAAAACCTGAATAGTTATTCCAGAGACTTTGGGCTGGCAATGGGATGTGGGTACTCACTGTTTCTGGGCCTGATCAATCCGGTTCCTGAGGGTGGTGATCTGCAAACAACATACATGACTAGGTTTTTAAAAGTGATCTAGTTTCCCAGAGTGGAGGGAAGGCTTTTACCTGGCAGGAGAACCACTTCAGGTATCTGGGAGGAGATTCTAAACTCTGTCTTATTGGACTGAGAGACACAGACATTACTAACTGGCAGTAAACTTACCAGAAAAGGTATTATTTTTGTGACATAAATTATTGAGTAAACTAGGGGTCCTAATCAGAGATAAAGATTATTTATCCTGTCCAGAGCTTTGAAAAAATATCATGCTGGCTGGAGGATTCAAGAAGTAGTAATCCACAAAAGTTTTCAAGCATTCACTCGATCCTTGATAAAAGTGCTTATTTTTGTATATTTCATAGAAGTAATTTTTATTTGATACAATATAACTACTCAAATTGTAACAGGGAAATGAGAGATGGGAAATCAATACTGGTCTTTTTCAAAACTAGATTCTATCTGTTTGAAAAATTTAACTTTAAATTAACCATAATACAAGTATCTTGATAGGGATTCTTTTCACCCACAGGTTGTCTATTACATGTAGGTATGTATACTATCAAATTCATCTTAGCCCAGTTTTTCTAGTAGTCATCATCTTTCCTGGAGATTTACCAGCCAGTTAGAAAACACTTATTGAGAAGACAGAAATTGACCTGTATTGTTGATGGAGCCTGAAAAACGGAAAGATGTTCAAGCCAGGAGGCTAACTAGTTAAGTTTGCTCAGCAGCAACTAGTTCCAGATTTCCCTTACTAAGTTACTATATTGGAAGAAAATTGCATTGATTTTGACTCTTCAGAACTCAAATATCTTCAGAAGGAGGCATTTGGAAATTAAAAAATGGAATAGTTGTCCAATATTAGATTGAGAGGATTCTTAAAAAAAAAACCACCACGACAATGGAAATCTTTGGTGCAGATATAGATGCATTTCACAACCACTGAAACTCTCCTCTGCACAGCTGAAACTGACAGTCTCTTCATATATTACCACAGTAATACAGTGACAGTTTCACCATAGTTTTCTTTCATGACTCTCTCAACACAACAACATTTATATGTAGTAGTATATAAAACATAAACCTTGTAGGCAAGGACATGGCTCCTTACCTGAGTGATACTGGGTTAGGACGAGGAGACAATGTGATTGAAAAACTCATGACTGGCCAATGCATATGGTTCCAGTCACCAAATATGACTACAACAGCATAGGAAGAAGCAAAGAAAACCAGCTCTTCTATTCTTATGGTAACATATGAAAGGGTCCCACAAAAAGGGGCAAAGCTTATGGTTCTTGTGAGTCTTGATTAGATGCCTTATCTTGTTGACCATGACTAATTACTTCCTGAGCAAACTTGAACCCTGGTAAGTAGCTCACCCAACAACATAATCTCTCATACTTGAAAAAATACACTTTCAACTTGAACCAAAGAGTTCACATTTTGGCTTTTTCTGCCATTTTGGATTTACTGAATGTTGCTTCTTTCATGGGAAGTAAAAACAAGATACTCTTGACACCAGAGGTAACAGGACAACATGAAAAAGAAAAGTTCAGTTACCTGATATACTTACTTGTTGATTTAAAATCTGTCTTGTGGAACTGAATTCACTTGGTACTTCATCTCAAATGAGGTATTTGTTAAAGAACCAGCTTGGTTTTGCTAATTGATTTCCTCTCCTACGACTTACCTTCATTTCTAAATTTGCATTTAAGTTGAAGACCGCAGGCATGGCACTCATGCTCCTGATCAACAAAGACTGGCAAGAAAGAGGCAAGCACTTGAGTTTGCTTGCTGTTTCTCTAAAAGCAATGCTTTGTTTCCACAGTTCATTATTTTATTTCTCATTATGTCATTTTTTGTTTTTATGGAGTTGCCCCTCTACCTTGCTCATGGCTTTACTGTGATTGATGTACTTGTCCATCTCCACAATTATCAGGTCAGTAAAAATTCCTCCTTTTATTTTCATAAATTGAACAATTAAAAAGGCAATAATGGAAGAAGTACCTTTCTCATTAAGTCCAGGGGTGGAAGACCACCAGTGGTCTCCTTTTAGCCCCAGCTAACCTGATGAGAGTTTTTGGCATGCCACACACTATTTGAGGGATGATGACCATCCAACATCTGTTTTAGGAAACCACAATCCCATGTGGAAGTGATGACTGGCTGGCTTTTGATCAAATCTCCGTTCTGGATTATTGATAAGGTCATGGGCAAACTAAGGAGCCTTCTGAATTAGTCACTGCCTTTCATTAGTCTTTAAAATTCAAACATATGGAATACTCCCGATAGCATCTATACTGCAGATTTGGTCCAACAGAAATAATTCTATTGATAGTTATTGTTTTCCCATTACAATTAGGTCTCCTAAGTCTGTGCTCAGGCTCTATTAAGCATGTATTTATATGGCAGGTGGTTGTAGAGACCAGACCCATGTGCTCACTTGTTTGATGATGTGGCTGTCTTTCTCCTATTTTTATAACATTTTTAGTTAATTTAAGGCATGGAGACATAAAACAGGTCTAGAAGTTCAGTGGGTGTATTTATGAATGAGTTGCCATGAGACTCTGTTGAACTGCTTCAGCTGCTTTGAATGAATAGAAGATTTATTGGTATGGAGAGGGCAAATCAGTTTGAGATTCACTTTCTTGTTCTCTTTGTCAGGAACTGAGTGCCAGCTTGCTGTTCAGCTCTGTGATCTTGGACTTCCAACATGCAAGAGTCTCATGCATGTAAACCATTTTGCTTTTATGTTTTGTTTTTTTTGGTCACTTGGGTGAACTCTTTGTACTTACAACTTGGACAGTGCCTGCACCCTGCAACGTAGTGATAAAATCTAAGAGAGATCAAGATAATTACATTGGCTTTGGGTACTTCACAAATCCAGATGTTTGCAATATGTACTCAGAACAGTTCCAAACAGCATTTTAAGTCTCTCAAGTCCCTGTTTTAGTGTCTGTTATTTGATTTAAAACTGTCTTTTTGGGAACGTATCCTGCAATGATAGCATACTCATTACAAATTTAAAAGGTATCTATTGTGTCACCTATAAAAACAGCTACATACTATTATTCTAGGAAAAAACATTTGTAGATACATGTGTCACTGAAATCAAAGGTGCTTTACAAATCCAGATGTTTGCAAACTGTATTCAAACCAAAGCAATCCAAAACAACAAAGCTTTTGATTTCCTGTCCTAGAATACTCTGTGAGAAAATTTCAAAAAAAGTCCTATTAACGTACTGGGACCAAGCAAATGTTTAAAGAGAATGGCTTCATTGCCTTATAACCCCAGAGCAGACTCCAACCATATACCATAAAGTATTGATTGCCTCCATGTGTTCGTAAGCTTGATCACGTGTGACTGACCTGCATATTATGTGGATTTATGCAGATTAGATTTTACATGTAGAGAGAATAAATAATCCCCCTTTTCACATTGCTGAAGAGGAGAGACAAAGTTCACACTTTGTAGAGGAAAACATGAAGAGGAAGTCTCTTATATTTTTTTAGTTGTCCATCTAGAAACCATACGAGGTTAGAAGACAACAAAACTGCTACCCATGAGAAGAAATAAAGAGAAGTAAAATAATAAGTTTCAACATTAGACTCATTACCCATCTACCCCACCAATATATTTCAGCCCAGTGCTAGTTTTGATGGACGGATGAGGATTCTAAGCAACTTCTGTTGGTTTCCTCTGATGGAATACAAAATCATGAAGTTAGGCATCTTATTCATTATACTTTATGATACAGGCTGGCTTGTTGTTCATTCGTTCAGTCGTCTCCGACTCTTCGTGACCTCATGGACCAGCCCACGCCAGAGCTCCCTGTCGGCCGTCACCACCCCCAGCTCCTTCAAGGTCAGTCCAGTCACTTCAAGGATGCCATCCATCCATCTTGCCCTTGGTCGGCCCCTCTTCCTTTTGCCTTCCACTTTCCCCAGCATAATTGTCTTCTCTCTGCTTTGCTGTCTCCTCATGATGTGGCCAAAGTACTTCAACTTTGTCTCTAGTATCCTTCCCTCCAGTGAGCAGTCGGGCTTTATTTCCTGGAGATGGACTGGTTGGATCTTCTCGCAGTCCAAGGCACTCTCAGAACTTTCCTCCAACACCACAGTTCAAAAGCATCTATCTTCCTTCGCTCAGCCTTCCCTAAGGTCCAGCTCTCACATCCATAGGTTACTACAGGGAATACCATGGCTTTGACTAGGCGGATCTTTGTTGCCAGTCTGATGTCTCTACTCTTTACTATTTTATCGAGATTGGACATTGCTCTCCTCCCAAGAAGTAAGCGTCTTCTGATTTCCTGGCCACAGTCTGCATCTGCAGTAATCTTTGCACCTAGAAATACAAAGTCTGTCACAGCCTCCATATTTTCTCCCTCTATTTTCCAGTTGTCAATCATTCTTGTTGCCATAATCTTGGTTTTTTTGATGTTTAGCTGCAACCCGGCTTTTGCGCTTTCTTCTTTCACCTTGATTAGAAGGCTCCTCAGCTCCTCCTCGCCTTCGGCCATCAGAGTGGTGTCATCTGCATATCTGAGGTTGTTAATGTTTCTTCCAGCAATTTTCACCCCAGCTTTGCATTCATCCAGCCCCGCACATCGCATGATGTGTTCTGCATACAAGTTAAAAAGGTTGGGTGAGAGGATGCAGCCTTGCCGTACGCCTTTCCCAATCTTGAACCAGTCTGTTGTTCCGTGGTCAGTTCTTACTGTTGCTACTCGGTCCTTGTACAGATTCCTCAGGAGAGAGACAAGGTGGCTTGGGATGCCCATCCCACTAAGAACTTGCCACAATTTATTATGATCCACACAGTCAAAGGCTTTAGAATAGTCAATGAAGCAGAAGTAGATGTTTTTCTGAAACTCCCTGCCTTTCTCCATTATCCAGCGGATATTGGCAATTTGGTCTCTCGTTCCTCTGCCTTCTCTAAACCCAGCTTGAACATCTGGCAACTCTCGCTCCATGTATTGCTGGAGTCTTCCTTGCAGGATCTTGAGCATTACCTTACTGGCATGAGAAATAAGGGCCACTGTATGGAAGTTTGAGCAGTCTTTAGCATTTCCCTTTTTTGGTATGGGGATATAAGTTGATTTTTTCCAGTCTGATGGCCATTCTTGTGTTTTCCATATTTGCTGGCATATGGCATGCATCACCTTGACAGCATCATCTTTTAAGATTTTAAACAGTTCGGCTGGGATCCCGTCGTCTCCTGCTGCCTTGTTGTTAGCAATGCTTCTTAAGGCCCATTCAACCTCACTCCTCAGGATGTCTGGTTCTAATTCATTCACCACACCGTCAAAACTATCCTCAATATTATTATCCTTCCTATACAGATCTTCCGTATAGTCTCGCCACCTTCTCTTGATCTCTTCAGCTTCTGTTAGGTCCCTGCCATCTTTGTTTCTTATCATACCAATTTTTGCCTGAAATTTACCTCCAATGTTTCTAATTTTCTGGAAGAGGTCTCTTGTCCTTCCTATCTGTTGTCTTCTTCCACTTCCATGCATTGCTTATTTAAAAATAGTTCCTTATCTCTTCTGGCTAACCTCTGGAATTGCGCATTTAACTGGGCATATCTCCCCTTATCCCTGTTTCCTTTTGCTTTCCTCCTTTCTTGGGCTACTTCCAGTGTCTCAGCAGACAACCATTTTGCCTTCTTGGTTTTCTTTTTCTTTGGGACGTACTTTGTTGCTGCCTCCTGAACAATGTCTCGGACTTCTGTCCATAGTTCTTCTGGGACTCTGTTTACTAAATCTAGTCCTTCAAATCTGTTCTTCACTTCCACTGTATATTCGCTAGGAATGTTAGTGAGATCATATCTAACTGGTCTGTGTATTTTCCCTGATCTCTTTAGTTTTATTCTAAATTGGGCAGTAAGAAGTTCGTGATCTGAGCTACAGTCAGCCCCAGGTCTTGTTTTCACCGACTGGATGGATGTCCGCCACCTTTGGCTGCAAAGGATGTAGTCAATCTGATTTCGGTGTTGACCGTCTGGTGAGGTCCATGTGTAAAGCCGTCTTTTAGGTTGTTGGAAGAGAGTATTCGTTATACACAGCGAGTTTTCCTGGCAAAATTCTATCAGCCTGCGTCCCGCTTCATTTTGTTCTCCCAGACCATGGTTGCCTGTGATCCCAGTTGTCATTTGACTTCCCACCTTGGCATTCCAGTCTCCTGTAATGAAAATAATGTCTCTTTTTGGTGTATTATCCAGTAGTTCCTGCAGATCCTCATAGAACTGATCTACTTCTGCTTCTTCAGCAGCTGTGGTTGGGGCGTATATTTGGATCACTGTAATGTTGAAAGGCTTTCCTTGCACTCGAATTGAGATCATTCTGTCATTTTTGGGTTGTATCCAAGCACCGCTTTAGCGAATTTCTTATTAATTATGAAGGCTACTCCATTTCTTCGATGTTCCTCTTGTCCGCAGTAGTAGATCTGGTGGTCATCTGATGTGAAGTGGCCCATTCCAGTCCATGTCAGTTCGCTGACCCCCAGAATGTCTATCTTTAGTCTTGACATCTCACCAATAACAACATCCAATTTGCCCTGGCTCATAGATCTTACATTCCAGGTTCCTATGGTGTGTTGATCTTTAGAGCATCGGATTCGTCGTTCACCTCCAGTACCGTCGGGCGCTAGCCTTCCTTTCGGCTTTGAGCTAGCTGAGTCATCACATCTGGGGCTAGTTGAACTTATCCTCTGCTACTCCCCAGTAGCATTTTGGCCATCTTCCGACCTGGGAGTCCCATCTTCCAATGGCATACCGACATATCTCTGGTTGTACTGGTCCATTTAGTTTTCTTGGCAAGGATACTGGGGTTTGCCATTGCCTTCCCCAGGGATCACGCTTGGTCTGACCTCTCTGCCAAAACCGTCCCGTCTTGGGTGTCCCTTCACGGTTTCGCTCATGACATCATTGAGGTGCTCAAGCTCCAGCGCCCCGACAAGGCGGTGATCCTTTGCTGGAGACAGGCTGGCTAGTTCATGTTAATTAATAGCCTTATTGATGAGATATTAAGAAGAAATAACCCTTCTTGGAAAGCCATGTTTGTTCTGAGTATATAGATCAGACTGGGCTATATTTCTCCTGAATGAAAATGTAAATTCTGTTGACAATTATTTTTAAATGATATCCTGGGCCCTGTCTCTCCCAGGAGGACTGTAACTGCTGGGCTTGACAACAAGAAGAATTACAAACGAGATCTCTTTTGCTACTCACATCATATTTTTGCCTCTTGATCTTCTCTAAATATTCATACTTCTCAGTTTCCAGTGAATATAACCAGTCCCAAAGCTCCTTTGCTTTCTCCCTGTATGTTTATGAAAAAAGGAGCAGAAATACAGTGTGTGGAGTGAGTAGAAAGGAAAACTGAATATCACTTAACAATATTATGTAATCCTCAAATCACAAAAAATCCAACCATGAAGCCACTTCATGGAGGACAACTGGAGAACATAAACAAATCTGAGCTAATATCTCATGCCAGATGGGGTAAAAAGCCATTTACCTCAGTTTGTCTTCACTAAGGTGGTCAACGTTGAGGGGTTTGCGTCTTTCTGCCAGAACTTTCTTCTTCAGTTCTCTTGCGGTTTGTTTCTTTCCTCTCTTCTGATCAGCCTGTGAAGAGAGGAGTTTTTCAGAATACTATGGAACACGTCTCTACATGAATACAAACCCATGGAGGAAAGATTTGCTCCTTTATGAAGAAAAAAGTCAAACTATGGGACACATTAGAACTAACTTAGAAGACATTTAGGGCAGATATGCCTCAGGAAATGCAAAAAATCTTTCTCTTGTTGCATTTCTTGATTCAGACATTTACCAGCATTTTATCCCATATTGAACTTGTTTTAGGGAATCCTTTGTTACACCACTAAAATGGTATGTTATTACTAAACAAATGCCAAGATAGGATTCTGCAAGGCATGATCACAAGAGATGTATTGACACTGTGGAGTAGATGCAGTTTGAGGTGATTTTAACTGCCTTGGCTCAATGCTATGGAATCCTGTGAGTTGTAGTTCACAAAGTTTTTAGACTTCTCTGCCAAATAGAGATGATACCTCACCAAACTATAAATCCCAGGATTCCATAGCATTGAGCCACTGCAGTTAAAGTGGTGCCAAGCTGCATTAATTCTACAGTGGAGATGTACCCCATGTGACCATGGTCTTTTACTCCTTCAAGATCTTTTCTTCTCCTGTATGTTTTTTTCTTCCTGAATACAACAGGAATGTTTATAGTACAAGAATATGACTCAGAGACTGCCAGAGCCAAAATGAGAATATCTTATGGCAACATGTCTACATAACAAAGTACTCTAAGTTACAGGCTGACCTCATTCCAGCAGGCCAGTCATTAAAGGAGTAAAAAACCTTTCATTGCTGATTAAAGTTCAATAATATTTTCTTGGGAGCCAAGTATTTTTCCCCAAACTTTTCCCAATATGAATTGAGGGAATGGGTGAATTTCTAGAAATGGATGAGACCGTTCATGAGGTTTTGGGATCTTCTAATATTTTTTCAGTTGCTCATCTATTCCTATTTCCTCCATGAAGGGCTTGATTTTATTTACCTTAGCCAAGTAGCTGCTGTATGTGGCACCCATGGAGGAGAGAGCCTTCTTCTTCTTCATGTCGTCTTCAGCCCGTCTCTTGGCATCGTCCTCCTCTCTTCTTGCCTTTTCTTCCTGTGAAATACAAAAGATAAAAACGGTCCCCATAAAATTTGGAGATCACAAATGCAGAATACACAATTGGATACTGAACATTCCTTTTAGCAGAGAGGAAGCTAGAATGAGAAGAATTCCCTATGAAGAAGGTACTTAATTGACAGTGCTCCTTGTGCAGGGCAATGAAATGGGAAGGAGAATAAGATGCGAAGAGACTTACAGCAAGCCTGGATTGACGCTCCTTTTCCTTCTCAGCCCGGATTCGTTGCTGGTCTGCCCTCTCAGCTCTACGCTTCTCCTGTCCATTGCAAATAGAAAGAAAAGAAACAGTAAGTGGTTTCATTATCACTCTGTTCATGCTGTTAAGTAAAACAAATTGTCTTGAGCAACTTCTGTCATTATTTCAGTTACCCATAGATGGGTAAAAAGCCATCTAGGATCTAGTCTCTTTCTTGAAACACTGAAGGTTTCTTTCTCTTCTCATATTACACACCATATCTACTCTCATGCAACTGAATAGACTTTATTTCCATCAAATCCCCATGACTCCTTTGTCATAGAATCATAGATTTGGAAGAGACCACATGGGCCATCTAGTTCAACCCCCTGCCATGAAAGAAAAGCACAATAAAAGTACCCCTAACAGATGGCCATCCAGCCTCTGTTTAAAAGCCTCCAAGGATGGAGCTTTCACCACACTCTGATACAGAAAGTTCTACTGCTGAACAGTTCTTACAATCAGGAAACTCTTCCTAATGTTCAGGTGGAATCTCCTTTCCTGTAGTTTGAACCCAGTGCTCCGAGGGCAGCAGAAAACAAGCCTGCTCCCTCTTACTTATGACATCCCTTCACGTATTTATGCATGGCTATCATGTCTCTGCTCAATCCTCTCTTCTGCAGGCTAAACATACCTAGCTCTTTAAGATGATCCTCATAGGGCATGGGCTCCAGATCTTCAATCATTTTAATTGCCCTCCTCCAGACACCTTTCAGCTTGTCAATATTTCTTTTAAACTCTGGTGCTCAAAATTGGATAGCTAATATTTCCTTTTAGGGCAAAGTATTGGAACTTTTGTGGTGGCCTCACATCTCTAGGCTTCCTGGATGAAACAGTTTATCTAGATCCATTTCAGTCTGGCTTCAGGCCTGGCAATAGGACAGAGACAGCTTTGACTGCCTTGGCGGATGACCTTTGCAGGGAACTAGATAAGGGGAATGTGTCCCTGTCTGCCCTGCTGGACCTCTCAGTGGCTTCCATTACCATTGATCAAGGTATCTAGTGTGATGGGACTTGGGGACCCTGTTTTATAGTGACTTCAGTCTTTTTGGAGGGACAGACACAGAAAGTGGTGCTGGGGATGCCCGTTTAACATCCTGGCCACTAACCTATGGTGCCCCTCAAGTATTGGTTCTGTCCCCAAGCTATCATCATCATCATCATCATTATTATTTCATATATTTATATCCTGCCCTTCTCCACACAAGGGGGACTCAGCGCAGCCTCACATGAGTATCAGAGGATGCTAACAGCATAAATACCATAAAATTACAATTCACAATAAAATCATTTTAAAACATTGTACATTGTCAGTAAAATTTAACAATAAATTAATAGATTAATGTGCCAGTAAAAACCAAGCCAAGCCGGGAGAATCCATGTCACAAAATCCAAATTTCCTTTTCCTATTGCCGCTGGCCTCTAATCAAACGCCTGGCCCCAGAGCCAGGTCTTCAGTTGTCTTCTAAAGGACAGGAAGGAGGTGACCAATCTGATGTCCTTAGGGAGAGAGTTCCACAGACAGGGGGCCACTGCCGAGAAGGCCCTGTCTCTTGTCCGCACCAAGCACATTTGCGAGAGTGGTGGGATCGAGAACAGGGCCTCTCCTGATGATCTTAAGCTTTGTGATGGTTCATAGCAGGAGATATGTTCTGATAGGTAATCTGGGCCAGAACCATTTAAGACTTTAAAGATTAAAACCTTTAAATTACACATCATGAAACCACTGAGAGGGCTCATTTGGAATTTGGGGGTCCAGTGCCATCAATATGCTGATGACAGACACCTAACTCTCTCTCTTTTCCATCCAATTTCAAGGAACCTGTTTCTGTACTAAACCAGTCTCTTCTGTCACTAGTGGACAATCCCAAAATGGCATTATCAGGCTTAACTGAAGATGTGATCACTCATAACAATCTTCTCCTCACACACTTTTTTGTGGGAAGGAGGGGGTTATTCCTTGTATTTTGTGTCCATTAAAGCATTATTTTAATAATTTTAAATAGTTATTGCCTACTACTCTCTTGAAGATAATATTGGACAGATCACATCAGTGCAACTTACAATTCTTTCTTTGAGAGCCAACAGCTCTTCCTCTTCCTTCTTCCGGCCTTCAAAGTGACTATCAATCAAGGCTTGAAGCTCAATCAAGTCCTTGTTCTGCCTCTTCTTTTGGATGTCCTGGAAAAATGACAGAGAGAAGGTGTTATGGTGGAATCTATGAAGACAATGACAATAACGATGGTGGCAATCTTTAGGGTATTATAGATTTTTCCATTCTAGAATTCTTTAGTGTTCCCATCTATACATATCCAAAGATTCATGTCACCTCAGAATTAGAGGGGTTACCTAGAAAGATCTCCAAGACTGAGATTTTTTAAAGTTACTTAAATTACTTTCAAGGTTGGGCGGAGATGGCAGCAGAACAAGATATTTGTTGGAAGGGGACAGCAATACTTACATCAAAGTCTACTTTCTCACCCTCTGGGATCTTAGGTGCAGACATCCTTTGCAGATGGGACAAAAGGAAAGAAAGATATATAAGCATCTGTAACAATTATTTTCAAAAATTTCAGTGATGAGGCTATTAAAGTAAAATATAGCCACCCACCACCCACTCTCAACACACAAGAATATGTAATGGAAATAAAATTTGACTAAGCTTTGAAAAACCTAAGTGGAAAAGCTCCATTTAGTGTTATATTGTGGCAACTTAGAGCTCTGGTTGTCACATTCAAAATGTTGAAGAGCCAAATTATCTGCCCAAATTTATCTTTCTACAAAATGTCACCTCTTCTAAAATTCAGAATTAAGTCAATTTCAGTTAGACACAGGATTAGAAAATGATTTGACATGGGACTGGGAAATTTAAATAGTTCCTGCAGCTCTGACAGCATAACTATATTCAAACATTTAGAGCATGAACTTATTTAGTGCAGCAATAGTTGCTTCCAAAAGGAAGGCTCTGAGTGGTTCCAGTCTAAAGGCATTGTGCATCTAATCAGTTTTTTCCCTCTTTCTTTAATGTATATTTTGTGGGGGAAAATATATATAGAAGAAACTGTAAAAAGAAATCACAGGAGTTACAACTGGAAGATGTTATTTGGGCCTCTTCTAAAATTCCATGAATGAGACATGGGGATTGCATGATAAAAAGCCTTGCCTGGAAGTGCCCATTATTTATGCCAGCAACAATGGAAAAATGGATTTCACCCTACATAAATTTGTACCACAATATATCCATCAGCTACTAAGCTGTCACTGATTTGGTCTCTATGGAGAAATGAACTGCTTTAAAGTACGTGGCTCTTTCCCCACACCATCTTTGCAAACTAACTTGAAATCAAGTGAGGCTCCAAGTGGGAAGACCCTGGCATAGATCATCTAAAATTTGTGACTGTTCTACATCACTTTTCTACACCTCTAAAAATCCTTCCACTACATGCAACCTGTCTGTTACTAGACCCCTTTCAAGCTCTTATCATTCTACTTGCCTTTCTTTCAGCCTCTAGAATATTTGGAGTCAGAACTTGGAAAGATGTCTACTTTGCACTACTGTTACCAGAATCCCCCAGCTAGTTATTTTCCATATCTTTCTCTCTCCTCTGATACATCTCTTCTCAGTCTTAGAATGTGTTTTTCATTGTATATTGCTAGGTACTCCAGCAAAGGATCACCGCCTTGTCGGGGCGCTGGAGCTTGAGCATCTCAATGATGTCATGAGCGAAACCGTGAAGGGACACCCAAGACGGGACGGTTGTGGCAGAGAGGTCAGACCAAGCGTGATCCCTGGGGAAGGCAATGGCAAACCACTCCAGTATCCTTGCCAAGAAAACTAAATGGACCAGTACAACCAGAGATATGTCGGTATGCCATTGGAAGATGGGACTCCCAGGTCGGAAGATGGCCAAAATGCTACTGGGGAGGAGCAGAGGATAAGTTCAACTAGCCCCAGATGTGATGACGCAGCTAGCTCAAAGCCGAAAGGAAGGCTAGCGGCCGACGGTACTGGAGGTGAACGACGAATCCGATGCTCTAAAGATCAACACACCATAGGAACCTGGAATGTAAGATCTATGAGCCAGGGCAAATTGGATGTTGTTACTGGCGAGATGTCAAGACTAAAGATAGACATTCTGGGGGTCAGCGAACTGAAGTGGACTGGAATGGGCCACTTCACATCAGATGGCCACCAGATCTACTACTGCGGACAAGAGGAACATCGAAGAAATGGAGTAGCCTTCATAATTAATAAGAAATTCGCTAAAGCGGTGCTTGGATACAACCCAAAAAATGACAGAATGATCTCAATTCGAGTGCAAGGAAAGCCTTTCAACATTACAGTGATCCAAATATACGCCCCAACCACAGGTGCTGAAGAAGCAGAAGTAGATCAGTTCTATGAGGATCTGCAGGACCTACTGGATAATACACCAAAAAGAGACATTATTTTCATTACAGGAGACTGGAATGCCAAGGTGGGAAGTCAAATGACAACTGGGATCACAGGCAAGCATGGTCTGGGAGAACAAAATGAAGCGGGACGCAGGCTGATAGAATTTTGCCAGGAAAACTCGCTGTGTATAACGAATACTCTCTTCCAACAACCTAAAAGACGGCTTTACACATGGACCTCACCAGACGGTCAACACCGAAATCAGATTGACTACATCCTTTGCAGCCAAAGGTGGCGGACATCCATCCACTCGGTGAAAACAAGACCTGGGGCTGACTGTAGCTCAGATCACGAACTTCTTATTGCTCAATTTAGAATAAAACTAAAGAGATCAGGGAAAATACACAGACCGGTTAGATATGATCCCACTACAGTGGAAGCGAAGAACAGATTTGAAGGACTAGATTTAGTAAACAGAGTCCCAGGAGAACTATGGACAGAAGTCCGAGACATTGTTCAGGAGGCGGCAACAAAGTACGTCCCAAAGAAAAAGAAAACCAAGAAGGCAAAATGGTTGTCTGCTGAGACAATGGAAGTAGCCCAAGAAAGGAGGAAAGCAAAAGGAAACAGGGATAAGGGGAGATATGCCCAGTTAAATGCGCAATTCCAGAGGTTAGCCAGAAGAGATAAGGAACTATTTTTAAATAAGCAATGCATGGAAGTGGAAGAAGACAACAGAATAGGAAGGACAAGAGACCTCTTCCAGAAAATTAGAAACATTGGAGGTAAATTTCAGGCAAAAATTGGTATGATAAGAAACAAAGATGGCAGGGACCTAACAGAAGCTGAAGAGATCAAGAGAAGGTGGCGAGACTATACAGAAGATCTGTATAGGAAGGATAATAATATTGAGGATAGTTTTGACGGTGTGGTGAATGAATTAGAACCAGACATCCTGAGGAGTGAGGTTGAATGGGCCTTAAGAAGCATTGTAAAACAAGGCAGCAGGAGATGACGGGATCCCAGCTGAACTGTTTAAAATCTTAAAAGATGATGCTGTCAAGGTGATGCATGCCATTTGCCAGCAAATATGGAAAACACAAGAATGGCCATCAGACTGGAAAAAATCAACTTATATCCCCATACCAAAAAAGGGAAATGCGAAAGACTGCTCAAACTTCCGTACAGTGGCCCTTATTTCTCATGCCAGTAAGGTAATGCTCAAGATCCTGCAAGAAAGACTCCAGCAATACATGGAGCGAGAGTTGCCAGATGTTCAAGCTGGGTTTAGAAAAGGCAGAGGAATGAGAGACCAGATTGCCAATATCCTGGATAATGGAGAAAGGCAGGGAGTTTCAGAAAAACATCTACTTCTGCTTCATTGACTATTCTAAAGCCTTTGACTGTGTGGATCATAATAAATTGTGGCAAGTTCTTGGTGGGATGGGCATACCAAGCCACCTTGTCTCTCTCCTGAGGAATTTGTACAAGGACCAAGTAGCAACAGTAAGAACTGACCACGGAACAACAGACTGGTTCAAGATTGGGAAAGGCGTACGGCAAGGCTGCATACTCTCACCCAACCTTTTTAACTTGTATGCAGAACACATCATGCGATGTGCGGGGCTGGATGAATGCAAAGCTGGGGTGAAAATTGCTGGAAGAAACATTAACAACCTCAGATATGCAGATGACACCACTCTGATGGCCGAAAGCGAGGAGGAGCTGAGGAGCCTTCTAATAAAGGTGAAAGAAGAAAGCGCAAAAGCCGGGTTGCAGCTAAACGTCAAAAAAACCAAGATTATGGCAACAAGAATGATTGACAACTGGAAAATAGAGGGAGAAACCGTGGAGGCCGTGACAGACTTTGTATTCTAGGTGCAAAGATTACTGCAGATGCAGACTGTGGCCAGGAAATCAGAAGACACTTACTTCTTGGGAGGAGAGCAATGTCCACTCTCGATAAAATAGTAAAGAGTAGAGACATCAGACTGGCAACAAAGATCCGCCTAGTCAAAGCCATGGTATTCCCTGTAGTAACTTACGGATGTGAGAGCTGGACCTTAGGGAAGGCTGAGCGAAGGAAGATCGATGCTTTTGAGCTGTGGTGTTGGAGGAAAGTTCTGAGAGTGCCTTGGACTGCGAGAAGATCCAACCAGTCCATCCTCCAGGAAATTAAGCCCGACTGCTCACTGGAGGGAAGGATACTAGAGACAAAGTTGAAGTACTTTGGCCATATCATGAGGAGACAGCAAAGCCTAGAGAAGACAATTATGCTGGGGAAAGTGGAAGGAAAAGAAGAGGGGCCGACCAAGGGCAAGATGGATGGATGGCATCCTTGAAGTGACTGGACTGACCTTGAGGGAGCTGGGGGTGGTAACGGCCGACAGGGAGCTCTGGCGTGGGCTGGTCCATGAGGTCACGAAGAGTCGGAGACGACTGAACGAATGAACAACAACAACATTGCTAGGTAAGCCTCAACTGCCCTCATCCTTAATATGTAATAATCTATCTCTGACATCTTTTCTCACTTTTGCTAATCCTATAAAAGTCTGAGAATTGATGTATATTCCTGAATGTTTCTTACAAAGACAAAAAGATGAGAGTGGCTTTTCACTAGCTGAATGCACACATCTGCTTTCTGTTGGCTGATCTTTATCTATTGTCTTTGATGGAAATCATATTTAATCAGAGTGGGAAGTATAAAAATGTCTCTTTTACATGCCAAAGAAGCACAACCAGCAAAATATGACTCAACGAACAACTGGATGCCTGTGCTTATTCACAACACCTGAATCTGACTAAATTTGAAGTTTTAAAAACATTTAATGCAACAACTAATATGTTAAACATCTGCTAGTACACACTTACGGTGGTGGTCTGGGTTTCTTCTCTAAATATAGCAGTGCAGGAAGGAAACAGACAAAGGAAGAAAAGACGAAGAAGGTAAAGATTAGAACCACAGAACACATTATTGTCTGATTTGCTACAACAAGTGAACCAACACAGTTGTCCAATCTTATGGAAATACTCCAAAGGCACTTGACTGCACTTCTGATATTTCATATAGATACACTCCTTGGCAAGCCAATTTTACTCAGAAGCAAAACAATAAAATATTAATCAAAAGACTGCATGAAAGATTCAACATAGCATCTGAAAGACAGGAGTTTGTTTCAGTGCAGATATGGGCAGCAGTGACCTTCTACATGTTAGTCCCTAGCCAATGGACAGAGATGGTGGGAGCCACATATCTTCTTTACTACACACAGTCCTGGCTGTCAAAACTTGAATTCAGCTTTTATAACCACATACATGAATTCAAGGAATTGTATCATACATTGCTCCCTCTATGTGACTCATTCTCCTTTCCCTACTTTTAGGTGAGACTTCAACAATAAAAAGCTTGCAGCCTATTGGAAAAAGTATTGAAGATACACCTGACTTGAAGGAACAGTGTAAATTCCACTTCCGCATTTACAAGTGTAGTGCCACTCTGCACTACATATTTAACCAGGCAGTTAAACATTCTGTAGGTCTTAAATTTTCTCTTCTGTTAAGCAGTGAGCTTTTTAATTGGCAATGACTTTAAAATACAAATCACACCAAACCATTTTCATGAATGTTATTCAAAAGTATGCAAAGATCTAAGTCTAATTTTAAATCTCAATGAGAGAAGACCATTTGAATTAATGGGACGCTAGTAAATCAACATTTTGATTCAGTGAGTCTAATTGGAATTAGACCGAAGCTTCCCTCACTCTGTGTTCATAAAAATCACTGCTGTATTCCCACTCCACTGTCAAACTACACATCACTGTAGAAAAACATGTTTCTAAAATCTGTCTGATGTGTGGGTGGGGTAGGGGTAGAGTGGAGTGGAGTCTGTCCATTGCTTACAATTAACTCATATATATATATATATATATATATATATATATATATATATATATATATCTGCCCATATGTTTTGTATTCATAGGAATAATTCCATGAACATATGGTTACGAAAAGGTTGGTTTTCTGATCCTGGCATAAAAAGAAATATTTCATTGCTTCCAGGATACCAGAGGGGCTTCCAAATGGAGGGATTCCAATACTAAATATATTATTCTGTTCCATCTTTTCCTTCATGATAGTTGAGTGTTTGTGTGTGTGTGAGAGAGAGAGAGAGGAGAGAGAGAGAGAGAAAAAAAATGAGTGTGTGTGTGTATGAAAAGAAGAGGCAGAAGCAACAATGAGGGCAGCATTAATCAATGGAAGACTTTGTAATCTATGACCCTGGTAAAAATCTATAGCCTCATTTGGAAGCACCCAATAAAAGGAAAACAAAAACAACTTTTTTTTCAAAAAAATTAGCAGATGCCTTCAAGTGCATGACACAACAAAGGATGGAGTCTATAAACTGAAACCTGGCCTATTGTTAGATATTTGTCTAAGATAATCTTATTTCTCTCATCTTTAAGGAACTGGGGAAAAGGAACACACAATCATCACTGCAAAATCCTTTCTTTTGATGCCCCTTCCCTTCCCTCAGGAGGACAGTGACTACCCATATACAACTGCTGTGAAACACAATCCCTACAAAGCTCCTGCCAAAAAAGGTGTCCAACAGCCATATCTCATAACATTATGGCAGCAACAAAACTGGAAAGTAAACACAAGCTTTTTAAAAGTAAAAGAAAGCTGAAGTGATGTCATGTAAGAAAAGTCTTGATTTGTCCTTTCAAAATCTGAAAATTAGAACACATCAGAAAAGAACAGCTCAGTGATTTCTTCTAGAAATTTTCATATCTTACTTTTAAAAACTCAATAGCAATAAATGTCAGATTATAAATTAGGACCCAATATCAGGGGATGATTTCCTGTTGGTACAAATTCTCACTTCAGAGAAAGGATTGTGATTTGGGTTGTGGGAGGGCAGTAAGGGAGGAAGGGGTTTTTCCATCCCCTTGACTAACTCCATCAACAACCACTACATATTTTTAAAATGTCATGCTAATTGCGAAGATGCCTTTTATGGCACATTGCATGTATTTTGACCCTGAATCCATTCTTTTTCATCATTTGGAAATGATGACAAATGTGGCTGGTGTAACAACTGTGATATATTGAGATTACGCAAATCCCTGATAACATGGAGGCATGAAAGGTTGTACATTTGCAACTGTGATGATTTGGCCCAGTTCCTGGTTTTACATTGAGTAAGGATTAGAAACAGAAAGAAAAAGGTGTTAGAATATGCTTTTTCCAATGATAGACAACAAAATACCATCGTAATATTCTCCTTCTTCTCTAGCTGCAGATGAAAGGCAAAGGAAAGAAAGTAATCCAGTCAATGTGCTTCCAAAATTTTGGGTTTTCCCCCTATATTTATCCAACTCCTTTATTTCTTTGAACTGTATTGCACAAGGCAGGGAAATGGCATTTAAACTGGGCTATCATCACCCACTGTCAGTTTACTTCTTTCTCCTGATTAACCCATCATTACCTATTGACATGCAAAACTCATCAATAGCTTGCAATTCCACAACATTCCCATCAAGGGCTGTGTGATAAATGTGTTCTGCTTCTGTGCCGATAGTAAAGTGATGCCAGAAGGCAGAATTCAGCTTCTCTCCCACTCCCCAGCCCCTTTACTATTCTCAATATGGGTGGTTTTTGTTTATTTTATATTTTACAGTTTATTTGCTTTCTTCATAGCTCAACGTGCAAATTGCTCCCAAAAATATGGAATAGTGGAGATGTGGGACAGCAGGGTCTCGAGGATATGTGGAAGTACAACCTTGAGACCATCACTTGTTGAATTGGCATAATGCTGTCAGTAGAAAAAATATGTGATATCTAAGGTGCTCATCCTAGTATGTGTCTGCTTTAAATGATAGCATGACGATTGTGGAATAGCAGCTTCACACAATTAAATCCATAGTCTTAGCCTTTCTATGACCCAGATCCTAGAATGATTCCTTCTCATGTGGTGTAAACAAAGAACTGCAGTAAAAAGTATATCTCAAAGGTGGTGGGAAATTGTGTTGAAGGGAAGATTATAAAATTATTTTTCTTCTTCACTGAAGCTGTTTTGATCTATCTTGGACATATATTTAGGTTTTAAACTCCTTGAGACAGGGACATCTCTAAGGCACTACTTATTTTACTATGCAGTAGCAATAAATATTTGTCAGTGGAAAAATCTCGTAGCAGTTTTTGAAAGTCTGGTAGCACTATTTCAGCCACCATAATCACGGACATTGCTTTTGGCTGTGTCTATTGCTACCCCCTTTTTTGTTTTATGAAATGTGAACCATAAAATCGCTAGGACGTGTCTTCATAATAGAAGAGTGGTGGGACACTATTCTCTAATTATGACATTTTGTGCATCAAAACACAAAATATTGGTCAAAGACCCATGTAAGAGTTATGTCAAAGTCTCCTGGTAGTCTATTCAATCTGCGTGATATGATCTAGTTGAATAGCTTTACATAAGCCACATATAGAAAAATCCACCAGAGCTGAACCAGGGTGGTCAAAGCAGGGCTCTCTAGATTTTGGGCTGTAATTTCCATCAGTTCAAGCCAGTGTAGGCAGCATGAGGGATACTAGGAAAATAACTCCAACAGTATTTGAAGGGCTCCAATTTGCCTGGCCTAGCATTAGATAGATCTCTGGGTTTGCTTCCTCCTTCCCAATTTTATCCTCATAACAATCCAGTGAAGGAGGCTATATTTAAGAACATTCTGAGGTAAAACTCTTTGACTATATCAGTTGGTGGGAGATGCCAGGTGGAGGGTGTAGTTACATTATGTCCTACTGGTGGACTTACCATAGGCAATGAGTTGACTATTTTTGACCAGAGTACTGAACTAGTTAGACCTTTAATCTATACTTAAGTATAAGCATCACTCTTATACTTAATTATCTTATGAATATCTGGCAAGATTCTTTCTCAACCTGTGGAACCTAAATAAAAAATCAGACTGTTGTTGAACATCAGTTGGGGAATCCTAGAGAAAAGAGGGAGAAAAGGGGGAGTGGAAAGCACATACCTTCTTCATGGACTTCTTCCAGTAGAAATAAGCAGTGATGAGAAGCAGAGATTAAAGGAAAAAGAAGACGGATGTAAATGCTTTTGAGATGACTCTGATGAACAAGGAATGTATAAAGGAAAAATAGAACAAATGGTAGTTAAGAAAAGCTGAAGAATGGTGCAATACACGGATACCTAAAGCAACTGTAGGAATGTGGGGGGGAAAAACATCAGCAGGAGATTAATAGAGCTGTGCAGGTGGAGCACTCAAGGAAAGACACACTGTAAGTGATAGTTTGTTAATAGTATTTGTTGATCTTGTTTCTTCTCTTCCAACATCCCATTCACACATATATGTATATATTGTGTACGTATCAGATCTAATTAGAGGAATTTGGAAGTTATGTCACATACCTGGCTCATGAACTTCATCGGGTGAGAAGTGTCATGGAACAAGATGTAACGAACAGCAAGAGAATGAAAACAAGAGGAACAATGTTAATATGACAAACATGGGGTATTTGAATTCTTCTGTGTGAGTTTGAGTCCAGTAGGGGAGAGGATAGTAAGACATATCTGTAGTCAGTGAGAAATAAAATTAATAGCACTTAGGCTGCAATCCTATACAGACTTACCTGAGAGCCCCATTGAACCCAATGGTGCACATTTCTGACTAGATATGTATAGGTTTGTATTGTTAAAGAGTCATAAAAAGGCAGCCAAAGGGAGAGTCAGAAAAAGGGAATGGTAGACATTGGTAGAGAAAGAGTAATGCCACACAGTATGCAAATTATTTGTCAGCACAGCCAAGAGGAATTTTCCACCATCTTTTATAAAGATTTCTCTTGGCTGTAAGCATGCATAGAATGACACTCCAGTTGAAAACAAAGTGATCCTAAATGCAAATACCACTTTGTTTGCCTGGAATACAGCAATACCAATGACCTTGTTAAAGACTATCTTGAAGAAACACAGAAGTTCAGAAATGGAGACATCTCTTTCTGGTTCTTTTTCTGGGCAAATATTGTATTTAACCCATATCAGACCACATCTATCATAAATTTGCATCTGCATGTATTGCTCCTCATAATAATTGCTCCTTAGGTTTTCACATAATAAACCAGAAATAAAAACAACATATGTAAACATTACAGATCTAAATGTTAATATCAGGGTAGCTATGATCTTCATTTTAATATTTTTCAGATCAATAGCCATGCAAGAGCACACAAGCAAGAAATGTCTATGGATATCTAGAAAATATCCCATTGATTTATTCTAATTACAAGATAATATATAGCCTATGAATGCTAGACTATTCTTTGCACATAAATGGCTTAAATGCCATGCCTCAAGAATAGTAACCCAGTCGAGTAATGATGCCATCTTGAATCAACCTATGCTCAGACTAAATCAGACTATAGAACAAAATTCCAAAAGCAACATTTTTGTTGCATTTTGATTAATGTACAAAAAAATATTCATTCATTAATACACTAACTTTTCAGTGTAATATATTTATTATTTATTTATTTAACGTATTTCTATCCCACCCTATCTCACCCCAAAGGGGGACTCAGTGCGGCTTACAATTTGGCACAATTCGATGCCACAATGAAACATAAGCGTAACAAATTATAAATACATTAAACATTAAACCTAAAACAATCACATATAAATACAATTAAAGCAGGATTTAAAACAGCAATTAAAACAACCACATAATCCATAATCAGAGTCCACGAGCCATTCCAGTTACAGTCACATTGATTCCCAACTGTCTGTTGCATTGCAGCTAGTCTTTGAACACCTGGCTCCAAAGCTTGGATTTTACTTGTTTTCTAAATGCCAGGAGGGAGGAGGCTTATCTCAAGTCACTAGAAAGGGAGTTCCACAGTTGAGGGGCCACCACTGAGAAGGCTGTCTCTTGTTCCCACCCACCCGCAAAGGAAGTGGGACTGAGAGCAGGGCCTCCCCAGAAGATCTTAATGTCCATCCTGGTTCATAGGGGGGGATGTGTTTGGACAGGTAAACTGGGACAGAATTGTTCAGGGCTTTATGGGCTAAAGCCAGCATTTTGAATTGTGCTCGGAAACAAATTGGCAGCCAGTGGAGCTGACATAACGGGGGCTTTGTGTGCCCCCTGTATACTGCTCCTGTTAGCAATCTGGCTGCTGTCTGTTGTATTACTTAAAGTTTCCAAACAGTCCTAAAGGCACATGGACAACAGTGGTCAAGTCTGGCTTCTCAAGGTATTGGCGCAACTGGTGCACAAGTTTTAATTGTGCAAAAGCTCCCCTGGCCACTGCTGAAACCTGAGATTCCAGGCTCAGTGATGAATCCAGGAGAACTCCCAAGCTGTAAACCTGCATGAAAACTCTCCAAAAGAGTCTTTTACACACTATCACTCTTCTCATCTCTAAATGAAAATAGATGTCGAGCCCAGAGACTTTACCAGATGATATTGTTTTCTTCTTCTATGCATTTTCAACAGAACATGCAAACAAACTCCCTATATTATATGGAAAGTACTTTGGAGACAAGAACACAAATATTGTGATCTTGCTTGCCCCTTCATGAATATATACTGTCCTATAGTGTATGAAACACATTCTCCCTGACCTGGCTTGTTTCTGCCATTAATAAAACCCTGTCCCCTTTTTCCCTCTACATTCAGTTAACTCTGGTATGTGCTTATTGTATAACTCTGATACTTAAACACTAATAATAATAACTTTATTTTTGTACCCTGCCTCAATCTCCCTGAAGGGACTCAGGGCAGCTTACATGGGGCCAAGCTTGATTAACAGAATTAAAACATAGCACAGTAAAATACATGGCAACAGTATAAAACAAAATAAAACAACAACATTATAACAATATATAAAAACAGACATCAAGGGATGTTTATTAAATCAAGAATGTTATAGTAATGTTTTATTAGAATAAGAATTTTTAATCAACACAAGGATATTTTAATAATTAAAACCAAGCAATTAAGAATTATTTATGATTATCTCTTGTTTCCTTGCTCCACCTTTGAATTCCTGTACAAGCCACCCATTCAGAGAATCAGAGGAATTCAGAAGTCATGTCACATACCTGGTTCATGAACTTCATGAGGTGGGGGAGGGAGTGTCAATAGGGGGAAAGGAAGACAAGACAAGTAAGAAAAACAGGATTGATTACAACCTTGAACTCTTGCAAATCAAGGTTGAAAAACTTAATTTATAAATAGGTTAAAGTGAAAAACAAATCAAGTGTTTAATTATTATTTTTTTAAAAAAAAAGAACTAGCCAATATGAATGAGAAAAGACAGCATGCACACATGAAAATGACTTGCAGATTAGTGTGCTGTAAGAATAGATTAAGCCCTCTTTCATACTGAGCAATTATAACAGTTTGGTTCTACAATCTAATCAATAGGATGTGCATTTCCAATTTTGAAAAGAAATGCAATATTCAAACTGTGCATGTCTGAAATAAAATTCATTGAAATAAGATGAATAGCCATTTGATCATATCTATAATTATTCTGCCAAATGCGTATGGGACAACATTTTTTCTACACATGTTCAAGAGAAATACGACTTGGCCTGACTTAGTTCTTATTCTACCTTTAAGCTTTATGGAGTTAAGATCACGTGTTTAATAAAAGTACTTCAACAGCAAAAGATTCTTAATTGGCCTACATCCACAAACCAAATGGGATAGTTAAGGAAACTGAGTTTTATTTATGCTGAGTGTCTGGCTTGGTGCATACACAATGAATGTTTTATTATTCTTATGCATGACAAATGCCACTATTTGGTAATCAAAAAGATGAGAGGGAGGGAAGGTGAGAAATCAGTAATGTGCTGGAAAGAAAGTTAAGACACATTAACACTAAAGACATTTAAAGCAGCTTGGGTGAGACATCACAAGTAATAACAAATGTAAATGCTAAGGTAATGTGTTGCTCTCCTGTTCTCTTCCATTCTACATTCCTGCACACACATACCAATACAGGATGGAAAGAGAATAATTCAGAAGTCATGTCACATACCTGGCTCATGAACTTCACCAGGTGGGAAGTATCATGGATGCAGGGAGGGGGGGCGGGGGAATCGAGCAATAAAAAACAAAGTTAGCAAAAGAAGATTATTAAAATCATTCAGGACAATGACTAGAAAGTTAGGTCATTACAGGAAAGCACATTATTACTATTACATAAGAATCAGAATGATGAACTATCTCTAGACAAATTCAGAAGGGGGTATTGTAAAGAAGGGGATACAAGTCATGCAGAAAATGGAAATCATGCAAAGGGATTGTAAGCCACAAAGTACTAACATTTCAGGGACTGGGTGAAGTTATAGAGCACATATAGAATGACAAGAGTTTCCCGAGGTTTCATATCTTGGTGTTCCCTTACACATGCACGCACACACACACACACACACACACACACACACACACACACACACTAGTCCTCACAGATGGCAGTGAAGGCTAAAGTAGCAACAATAAGGTGTACACATTCTGCACAGTTGGCTTTCCAATGTTGTTACCAAGAACAGTAATTATTTTGGTTATGTATTCCCACAGATGCCAGCCAGCATTCAAAGTAGATGCTATCTACATATTTTTTTCTCTTCAATCAGTCTATGTATTTACACTATATTAATCAGAAACATAGTGTAGATGAAGTATACACTGGATTCAAAATAAAACCTACATTAGGTATAAGCTCCTACTCATTTGCCTCATGCAAGTCCATGCTGATCATCTGTTTTTGTAAGTTCTGTGGGATTACAATGGAAACATCAGGCTGTATCAATACAGTGATGCCAAAAAATTTAGGTTGAATCTGAACTTTTTATTTGTGTTTTTCCAACAGAAGAGGAATTAGAGCTTTGTTATTTTTAAAATTTTGATTCTACCCATTCTCATAAGAAGTCAAGAAATTTAGCCATTTTCATGATGTTATAAAATTCTTAGTTATAAAAAGTTTACTACAACTATTTTAAAGAAAATGTACATAATGACATGCTGAAGCCATCTATATCTGAGTGGAGGTACTGATATACTCTTTAGTGTTTCTTTGACTAACACTTGATTTCATTCAACCTTGCAGGTGCCAATGTTCAACAGTACACTAAACTTTTTAATTTGTACTGAAGACGTTTTAAAAAAAGAGTCAGTCTATATTTTCAGCTAAAGACATACATATTTTGGCACAACCAGAATATCTTACATAAGCACTGAATAAATTTCAGCAACACACTAAAATGCAGCACAAACCTGGCAAATAAGTCAATAAAAGAGTAGAAATTGTGTCCATTTTAATTGTGCCACAGTTCTTTCACATTTATTTTTTAAAAAACATACACATGACCAAGTTGTCTCAAGAGAGAAAACTCACCTCAGGTTATTTGGTTGATATACAGTAGTTCACACCAATAACCTCACAGTTTGGCTGCATTTTGCTAAAAACACATGCTAGTCTTCCACCAAGGGACTGCTATAGGCCAATACATTATATTGTAAAAACTGGTTCAGAAACTGTTTTTAAACTCATAAAGAGTCATGGAAGCTGGTGTGCTAGAAACAAAAGTTGATGGCATTTTTTATTCCAGTGTCATTTCCCCCTCACTTGCATTCTTCTACATGGATTTTTCAGCCAGTAGGGGAGCCCATTGCACTGGAACTGACCATAACATAAACCAGTGGAAATAATGACTTGGTAAAAGACAGGACTGTGGAATGAAAGTTTGAGCCACACACTCATATCCAATTTCTTATTACCAGGTGTCTTGTAGCATAGGTAGTCCAACTGTTGGCAGTGCAGAATCAACTATTAGATTCCAATAGCTTAATGATCTATCTCTAGCCTTTTGCATTTGATTGGTAATTGTAACAGCCACACTATCTCTTCCACAGCCATTAGGAACACAATGCTCCTCTACCTCTGCCATTCAAATGCTCAAAACTGAGATTCCTCGGCACATACCTTCCTCTTGAGCTTCTTCAGGTAGGAAGCATTACAAAAAGAGCAGGAAAAAGCAAAAGGAAGAAAACAGTTAAAATAAGATACATGAAATTAGAATGCCTCAAACTATGTGAGGAATATGAAGAGGTAACAATAAGAGAACTACAGAACAGCAAGAAAAATAAATCCCATACAATACACACTGAATTGAAACAACCCTGCTAAGCAGCAATTTGGAATGTATATTTGGATAGTATTAACATGGCCAGGTAGAAAACAATCCATATTTATCCATGTCTGAATCAAAATGCCCTAAAATCCCCCGTTTTGATTTAAAACCCTTTACAGCCAGCACTCAACATTTGCTAAAGTTAGGGTTGAGCAATCTCCATGAAAGTGGGAAAATCATGAATAAAAAAAAACACTGAAAGAACACCTCTCCAGGAATCTTTATGTTCTCCAGTGTGACTCTATGGTCAAATTCAGTCTTTCTATGAATCTCTACATCCTCCAGTATCAGAAGACCTGGAGATGCCTAAGGAGACCAACAATCAAATCCAAGAACACTCAAATCTGTGTGCTTAACAATGTCAAAAAGAGACTCTCAGCTCTGTAAGCTCACTGAAATCTCTAGCTCATTTATACTAGCTTTTTATACCTAGCATATGAAAATATTATTCTGTTCTCATGCATAACAAATTTTGCAATTTGTTAATCAGAATCGGGGGGGGGGGGGGGGGGGGGGGAGAGAGAGTAAGAGAGAGAGAGGAGGGACCAGTAATGAAAAATACTGCATATATGTTAAGGTAATGTTTGCTGTCCTGTTCTCTTCCATCACTTTCCAATTTCTGCACAAATATGGGATGGAAAGAGAAGTGTTCAGAAGTCATATACCTGGTCCATGAATTTCACCAGCTGGGAAGTTCATGGGTGGAAAATCAAGGCAATTAGACAACAAGAAAATTAGAAAAAGATGATTAAGATTACTCAAGAAAATATTGAGAAAGATGTCAGTTCATAACAAGGAGCAAATGAATGCAGTTAAATATTAACAGAAATGATGAACTCCATGTAGTCAAAGGCAAAATACTATATTATAAAGAGAAAAATGTGGAACAGGCAGATGTAAGAGAGGAGAATTGGAAACAGTTCAAAGCATGCATAGCATTTGTAAGCCACAAAAGGCACATCAAAAGCACATGTATACATTTTAGAGATTCAGGGAACTCATGGACTACGTATACAGTGTTGGATTTTCCTTCTTGACTCCTTGTTCAACTATTATTCAATGGATTTACTCTATGTGGGACTAACCCAATAGGAGTCCAGGCAAAGCGCACCAAGGATTCAACAAAACACTCTTCTGAAAGGAAGGGATAGAATTCTAAAGGTAGTATCACATACCTTCTTGTTCTTCTTCATATGGGAGATGTCATGGGGACAAGAAGCAAAAACAAACAAAAAACGAATATGTTAAAATAGTTGACAGGACCATAACAGCTTGTGAGATAAGGCTGAAGAAGTAACTGGATAAAAAAAGAGAATATGTGGAACATGAAATTGTAACCTTAGAAGAACACAAGTAAAGGTCAGGCAAAGATGAAAATCCAGAAACCAGAAAGAAAATGAAAAATAAAATGTTTTTCAAAGGGAAAAAAATCATGCAGGTTAGAGAGAAGGGAAACACCTTGCCAGATAACCTCACATCGAAATTATTTTTTCCATCCAAAAAGAAAGGAAGAAAGGAAGTTAGACAAAAACAGAAGAAGGGAGAAAGGGAATTCCTGTCCTAAAAGGTTGCCTGTATTAGGTTAGCACTCTTGATTATCTCTTTGTAGATTTGACAAGCAGGTGAAGATGGAGTTTGAAAACTCACAACCCTAGCACACAATTGTACTTTTCTTGACCACTTCTTCATCATAGTATTGTCTTAAAACACTCTTCCAGAGCAACAAAAGACCAAGAAAGTAGTAATGGTATTTCTAGTCTATACTATACTAATAGGATTTTGGTTTTATGTCATTTGTGTACTGGAGTTAGATGGACCTCGTTCTCTGGAAGTGGTATTCTTTAGTTTAAAAGGATCCATATTAGTGCAGACTGAGAATCTCTGAAAGCTAAAAAATCCCAAATGTCCACATGGGGTGTCTGACATAGTGACATGCGAGCTATCTGATGGTTCACCATACACAGATGCTGTTTCATCCACACAATTATTTTAAAATGTATGAAATTACCTCCAGGCTACATGTATAAGGCAGATATAAAACATACAGAAATTTCTTATTTAGACTTGAGTTCTATCTCAAAAAGATCTCATTATGTAAATATATGCAAATATAGATATTCCAGAGTCCAAGAAAATCCAAAATCAAGAACACTTTTGGTCCCAATCATTTAGAATACGGGGCATTTCTATATTATATTTTGAACACTATAGCATTCCTGCTGAAGCATGGTTAATTATGGATGTAGATGACGAAAGAAAGGTTCCTTATATAGGTTGGAGGCTGAATGTAGCCAGGTTTCAAAGGCTAATAGCTCCTGGGAGAACAGTATAGATAATATCTGATTGACACCCCAGTCCGTGTTTATTCCTTATGGGAGTGGGAAAGTTAGTGCGCAGTGGTTCTCAACCTGGGGTCCCCAGATGTTTTTGGCTTTCAACTACCAGAAATCCTAACAGCTAGTAAACTGGCTGGGATTTCCGGGAGTTGTAGGCCAAAAACATCTGGGGACCCCAGGTTGAGAACCACTTCCTAGATGCAGTTTTCAGGATTGTGAAAACTGCACCTGAAATTCTTGACATTGTGAAGGCAAAAAAGAATTCATTTCCTTTTCTTTCTTTTTTTTGTCTTTACAATCTGAGACAATTTTTTTTTCATTTTACGTTAACGAACTGTAGCTAGCAATCTTTTCAAAATATCTGAGTTGCTTTTATTTAATGTTTCCAAAAGAAACTTTGGATCTAATTAATTGCATTATCAGAAAACAATGTTAGCATAGCTATGTTTGAATACTAATAGTTACTAAACAGGCAAGGTGTGGACTCATTAATCTTAGATACTTTGCCACAGAAAAAAATCCTACCAAACAAAACAAACTTCAGCAATTATGAACCTTGGTGGGAAAGAATCTTCTAATCTCCATCTTCTAAAACAGTCCTGTCTTGTCAAAATCATTAGTTCTGCTAAAAATGATACAGAACCCTCAGTCTTATAAATATGTGTGCTTAATGTATTGCACAAATAATAGCTTGTTTTGGAGAGCAGTATTCATTGGGATCTTTTACAAGCACAAATACAAATTTATAGTCTCTCTCACACTATTTGATTATAGTGCTTTAACTGCTATAGCTACATCCTACAGAATTCTAGGATTTGTAGTTTTGGTGTCGCTGCACTTAGAACTAGACCTTTCTGTTGAGAATGCTAAATACAAAACTACAAATCCCAATAATGCAATTACAGCAGTTAATGTGGTATCTAACTGTTATAATTGTCTAGTATGAAAGAGAACTACTACCCAATGGAGAGGGCTACCAGATGTGAATGTGGTTACCTGGGCATAAGGCGAGATAAAATACAAATAAAATTTGCATTTTATCCAAGTGAATTGGACTTCAATCAAGTTTTCATCTGAAAGTGCATAGACTGATGGCATTTCAGATCATTTTTAGCAGACAGTATCAAAGAGATGGGTGAATAACAGGCAGGGTAAGAACTGACAATTAAGGGGCCATGAAGGAAAGAGAAGGTACATTCCAGGTGGGGGTTTGTTACCTTCTTCTTCATATTCCTCTGCATTGATATAAAGAGAAAACAAGGAAAGCAGCAGAATCAACAAAATCGCTTAGCACTTGCAACACAAGGACCAAAAGTACTGACATGAAAGATAAGAACTCACTGAGAATAAAAAACACTTTTTAAAAGACAGAACAAAAACTCAATGAAACAGAACAAAAAGATTTCCATGGTCTTCTGAGAAATCTTAATTGAAAGGTCTGGAGGCAATCAAACCCCAAACAAATAACAAACAAACAAACAAACAATAAACAGGGCATTGTTCTCTGCAAGAATGAGTGATTTAACTCAGACTCCAAAGATAAACTACGGAGTTCTAAAACGGATCTACCGCATCCTGATTTAAGAATCAGAGACACTGTTGAAATAATTGGCAGCATTCTCCCTTAAAATAAGGAATAGTGTGAACTATGCTTGTTCCAGAAAAGTAATCCTGTTAGATGCAGTCATGTACTTGTAGAGCCAAGTTCCTATTGACTGTTTGTTGCATATTCTGTTTTATTCTGATGTTTTTAGGTAGAGAAGAGCTCAAAAATTCATTAAAGGCACGAATATATTATAAAAAATACTTAACACATGCATACTGAAAAAAGTTCTCTTTCTATCAGAGTGAATTTTAGATGATTAAATAAAGATGTTGCTGTTTTCAAAGCTAAAATAATGGTAAAGGAGTCGCAATGACGCAGTGGGTTAAACTCTTGTGCTGCTGAACTGCTGACCTGAAGGTTGGCAGCTCAAACCCACGGGACGGGGTGAGCTCCCGCTGTTAGCCCTAGCTCCTGTCAACCTAGCAGTTCAAACACATGCAAATGTCAGTAGATAAATAGGTACTGCTTTGGAGGGAAAGGCATAAGACGCTACAAGCAGTCATGCCAGTCACACAACCAGAAGGTGACAACAAAAGCTCCTCAGCTTGGAAATGGAGAACAGCACCTTCACCAGAGCCAAAGATGAGCACTGCCTCCAAATCTAGAAATGAAAGGAGAAGCCTTTGCCTTTGTTTGTGTTTGTATGTCTCATGGTATTTCAACAAGGCATTGAATGTTTGTCAGTATCTGTTTACTCTGTAATTCACTCTGAGTCCCCACGGGGGGAAGGGTGGAATATAAATAAAGTGTTGTTGTTGTTGTTTGAAACATGACAAGATGAGTCCACAGCAAACAAGATCACTATGCTGGCTGTTGTATTGGATCAATGTTGGACACTTCCCCAGAGTCTAGGAGTGTGTGATGTATTGACAAATAATGTGTCAGATCCCAGTAAGGTGACCTTTTGCAGCTGGCAGCTGGTAATTTTGTTAGCGCCAATTGTGTTTAAGTGCAGGCCAAGGTCTTTAGGCACTGCACCCAGTGTGCTGATCACCACTCGGACCACCTTTACTAGCTTGTGCCAGAGTCTTTGCAGTTCCATCTTTAAATCCTCATATTATGTCAGCTTTTCCAGTTGTTTCTCTTCAATCCTGCTGTCGCCTGGGATTGCAATATCGACTATCCATACTTTGTTTTTTAACATAATCGTATGGTCAGTAGTATTGTTCTCCAGAACTCTGTCAGTCTGAATTCAGAAGTCCCAGAGTAGTTTGTTGTTGTTGTTGTTTTTATGATTATTATTATTAATTGTTAATGAAATTACAATGCAATTTCCTTCATAAAAACTGATATAAAGCAATGGAACAATTCCTGTGGAGCAATCCTTTCCACAACAGGCTCCTTAATGGTACTGCTGTTTCAACAACCTGGGTTTGTTTTACTTAAAGTATGTCTTATTCTATATGAGCTTTAGGTCATCTGTTTTGTCCCTGGCATAGTTATTACTGGTTTCGAAGCCTCAAGTGGGAAAAAAAACAGATATAAAGAACTGATTTCTAAGGGAAAATCAAAGACAGATGAAACAGTCTCCTCCTGCCCATGCATACTGTTTAATTTTTTAAAGAACAACTGTATAGATTTCAGATCTGTAAAAGCATTGTATGCAGAGTAGCAAGGCCAGATCAAACTTTTATTGTATCTACTCAACATACAGGTTCTTTTTGGTTGAGGTGCATTCGAGAATATGATCTCCTAGATGCATTCTGAACAGGTACAATCATAATCAGGCTCCTTAATTTTAAGTATCCTAACCAGGAAAAGACCCACTTGTTCAAGTCCATGTTCTGTGTAAACACAGAAAAGGTGCAGTGACAAATAAGATCTGAGGTAGATGGGCACAGGTTGCCATTCTCTATTGCTTGAGCTGAACCCGTTTGTCATTAATTTACAGTGTGGAAGATCCAGAATCAATAAAAAAAGAAGTTGATACAATATTGGTCTTTGGTTCTTTTACAGTTTCACAGCTCTGTGATCCAAGAACCTTGGAAAACGATATCATCTTGAAGGAAAGATTTGCTAAAAGGTGATAGCATCAGTCTTCAGTCCAAAGAGACAAATAACAGTGCTCACATTAACAGGCACCTTTTGCTGATAATGTACTTTTGCATTGGCTACAGAAAAAACGTCTATCTCAGTAGCGGTTAACATTTTAACACTGAACATGTAGCATGAGCATGAACAAACACAGAGCAATGAGCTTACAATGCATATGTTCATGTATTCTTTTAAATAGTTTAATATGCTTAGACCTATAATCTTGCACATTAATTTAGGATATTGTTTGTAATTAGTGTCAAGACATATGCTTCACTTACAGTAATAACAAAATAAAGAGCTTGAAATGAATTAGCAAAAGAGAAATATACATTTTAAAGGGCTCCTTTATTGTAAAATCTGTCACCAACAGATGGCAGCAGCTCTACAGCAATAAAGCAAAAATACAGGGCAGGAGAGAGATATGCAATGATCAAGATGCACCATCTTGCTATGGGGTGCAGCAGGCAATCCAAGCATATGAAACAGGACTTTGATCTTGAGGCAAGGTCAGCACAAGTCAGAATACCCAATAAGCTGTGGAAATAATTTGAAAAGACTGCTGGTCCTAATGACTTTTTCTGCTGAATTGAAAACCAGAACTGAAAACCTTGAGCATAAGAGCTGGTTTGTGTGACTATGTTGGGTGGGAAGGGTGTCAACTGTTATCCAATATAGCCTAGCTTGAAAAAAGCCAGTATAGATGTATCTGTGAGTTTCAGTCAATGTCAAAATAAGTGCCCAGAACACAGGGTATTTGGGAAGGTGCTTTCTAGGCAAGAGGTAGAGATACAGAGCTAACGTTAAGTTAAAATCCATAGATTAGATCCACCAAACCTAATGCTAGTGTAGCCACATTATGCCAACATTGTACAAAACCACAATCAAGCTTCTCTCCTATGGGTTCCAATGGACCATAGAAGGTGATTTGGGCAAAACTTTTTTTTCTAAAAATATGGTTAATGGTACTTTCAAGGTTCCAACACCCATGAAACAACTTGGAGTGTCTGTGCGTGGTTTTAGTGACTATTGGGCAAGAGTTGTCTAGCTGTCCCTTATTTGGTTCATCACAGATGCTACACATCCCACAGTGGCACAGTGGCACTTTTACTATGGGATATTCTTTCTTGTGCAGACCAGTTGCTCTGTCAAACCAAAAGGAATCACAGGTATAGCATAAGATCAAGAATGAAATTAATTAAGAGAAAGCTTCATAATATCAGTCACTGGAACCTAACTAAGGAATAAAAAATGTATGTCAGATTGAGAACATAACTTATTCATGTTTAGGTACATTAAATAAAGCTATTATCACTGGGAATAAAAAAGTTCTTAAATGAAGCCTTTTATAGCATTTATATATGATTAAAATAAGTATACTTACCCTCTACTTGCTCACTTTGGGAAGGAAAGGTAGGAAGGACAAAAGAAAAGAAGAGAAGAGAAGAGAAGGAAGGAAGAAAACGATGTTAAGACATATTACCATGGCGATAAACCCTTTTCTTTATAGTAAAGCTTACTTCCAGATAAGTATTTATTTGAATCCAGTCTAAATTCTTAATATTTTGTTTAGTTATGTCAGTAGTGACTGGCACACCACTTGAAAATGTGATTCAAATATTCTGCCACATTCAAAAAAATGGAAATAACAAATTATATAAAAAAGGTTTAGTTACTTGAAGAAGTAGGAAAAATATATTAAAATAAACTGAGGTATAAGTTGCATCATGATTGCAACTTCTAAGTGGTACAAACTGGCTTATTTTGTGATATAAAAGTAATAGGAATATTTCCATAAACAAAGCAGATATAGCTATGTTGGGCATACAAATTCCAAATTTATATTGTGATAACAGCATTATTAGCCAACCAAAAAGGCAAAAACATGCACATATGTGTCTAAGATATCTTTAGCAGTTAAAATGTTACCAATAGCAGGCAGGGGAGACAAAAGCAGTGAACACTACTAGATCTTAAAGTTATGGATTCTACATGATTTCTTGAGACATAATGAGGAAGATGTAATGAGTCCCATTTGAGAGCTGACACCCCCCTCCCTCTTGGCTTTCATCTATTATACTATGTAACACGAGTTTTCTTCCTGGGTTATAAATATCATTTCCTAATTGGTTTTATCATAAAACTGCAAAAACTTGCTTTTTGTGGGACATCCTGCAGCACATTTTACTATAGTTTTTCAACGAATGTCTCATCAATTTTAACCAATTCAACATAGTTTGTGGCAGCCACAAAATGAAGTTTCTGGAATATAACAAATACTTTCAAAGTACGTACCACACAATTAAATAGGAATAACACTTTCAAACCAGGAACAGATTTTTTTTTCAAATTTTGATGCATAGTGTTATGATCTATATGCCTGAAATTCACTTGAACATAACCTAGAGTTTATAATATGTAGGGATATGTAGAGATCATGAAAGTCTCCCAATCCCCACTTATTTGGAAGCAGCTGCAGTGATTGATAATCTTAAGTTTGAGGGGAAATTACAACAAGGACCTCACTTCTACCTGACACAATGGGGATTGCTCATCAGAGAGGGTAGGGATGCCTCCCAAGCAACAAGGGGACAGACCCCTGTCAGTAGCAGCAGCTGCTACCTGTTAAATAGGAATTAGGTGGTTTGGGCCAGGAATCACGGTGTAGCTGTATAACTTTTGCACATGCACTTATTTAGACAGCAAATAACTATAATATCTTAGTGGGTTAATAATATACGCATCTTATAGAAGATGGGATACTGCTGTTTTGGGATTCTTTGGCCATGATTTTGAATGTTTGAGTCTACCAAAACTGAGATCATACAATCCCATTACAATAATTGGTTCTTCACTTCATAGACTTTTGAATAAGACTTTAGATGTTATACTTGAAGAAGCTATTGACCTGAGGGTAAGAAGCACTATGAAGAATTGTTCTTTGTAACTAATTATTGTACAGATGTGTTTCTACTTACACGTCTTCGGTATCAGACATGTTGGCAGTAGGTTTCTAGATAAAATATCAAATGAAGGCTGAATGAATGTCATATCACAACACATTTATCACAGAAAAGAATATCTGACCCTCTCTACAAAACGTCACAAAATTTCTCAATTAATAGAATAATAGCAATTTAGCTTACTGAAAATGACATTATTTTAGCAGCAAACTGTTCGCAAAATTAATCATCAAACAGCATGCCAGCCTGTCAGCACAACCTGTTTCTTGCCTTCTTTAAAGTACACATGTATATAATACCCAGTGGAGAAAACATGCCAACACATTCTCACATTTCAAACCCATCAAAATATTCTTACACCAGAGCTTGGAAAAAATACAATGCTAGACAACGACTCTGGACATGCTGGCCAGATTCTGACAGCCCAGATAAGCAACTTTCTAAATGCTGTCCATCTCAGAAAACAAAAAAGTCTACACACTGTGTTATAGTATATTGTAATGATGACTGATTCTGGCAACAGCCCAATGATCACCATCTTACAACATTAGTAATATAATTTATTACGTCTTAATTTAAAAACAAACATTGTGCACTCTTTATCCATGCATTCCACCATCTACCACTTGAAAATATTTTTTTCAAATCCCAAAGTCAAATTTTGATTTTTCCATTTTATATAAGGGACACCCTTTTATTATGCTATTGTATATAATAGGACTTGAGCATTCACATATTTTGGTATCCTTGGGAAGTACTGGAATCAAACCCCAATGGATACTGAGGGCACTCTGTACTTAGTTATGAATTACCTAAAGCACAATGTGCTTTACTGTTTTATTTTTCCTATTTATCCTCACAGTAATGTTTGAAGGAAAATCTTAAGTCTGGGGACCTGAGGATGAAAGTTGGTGAGGTTGGTCAAAGCTTTGAACAAGGTTGAAATATAAAATAGCTTGCATCTGTGATCCACCTTTCTTCGTGGACACCCATGCTTAGGATGTGCATACCCAGGTGAAAACATATTTGTCATTGTTGAGGCAAAAGGCTTGTATTTTTATTGAAGAAAAATGCATCCAGATCAATTGTATACTTACTTTTTAAGGAGTAGATGAGGAAATTTGGGTAATATGACTGTCTGTTTTCTACAGCTAACTTTCATAGCATAGAAAAAGGCTAGAATGTTGATAGATTTTTGTTCTTACTTGGGAACTAAGGGACATTTCAATCCTCAGCTATAAAGAATGGCTCTGCCCCATTAAACACAGCCAAGGTATACGAGTGTTCCCTAGGCAGCAAGAAGGTGGCTTTCACAGTCTCGTGTTTCATGACAGAGCAGAATATCCTACAAAATTCTGCCCAATGCAAGTCTTCTCCTGAGAGAAGAAGAAGCTCCAGAGAGGGCTTAGAAGAACAGCAACAAATGAATGGACCAATTCTTCTGGTCAGTAACAATGCCTTTCCAGTAGTATTTTTAAAGAGTTAGACGCACTCAATGGGATTAGGATTAACTCTGCAGGAAGGAATTTAACCCACATCCACCTAAACCCAGGATGGATGGAGCCTTACTTAGGAAATAGAGCTCCTCCTCCAGGAAATCCAAGCCTTCTTTTAACTTCATTACTCAGCTGATACTTGAGAGGAGTCTTGAAGGAGCAGGCAGATGGATATGCGTCCTAAAAGAACATCTGCGGCTCACCAAGTTTCTATTTCAGAAGGGTCTCATAATCCCAGAGGCAAGAGTCCTGCCATATAAGGGTTTCTCCCCAGCAGCCAGTGACAACACATAATGATACAATGTAAACACTGAGAAGGTTATGTGCTTACACAGACTCTTGCACTATGATGGGAGGCTCTTAGTGTTCCAGACATAAGCCCTAATAAACTAGGAGGCTGGAAAATACTCATCATTACAGGTTGAGTATCTCTCATCCAAAATGCTTCAGGTCGGAAGTGCGTCAGATTTTGTATATTTTCAATTTTTGGAATACCTGTATTTACATATCGTATGCACATAATTAAATATCTTGGAGATGGGGCCAAAATCTAAACATGAAACTTATGTTCCATATGAACCTTATACACACAGTCAGAAGGCACTTTTATACACAGTATTTTAAAATAATTTCATGCAGGAAACAAAGTTTGCCTATATCAGAAAGTGAAGGTGTCACCGTCTTGGCCACCCATGTGAGTAGTTTTGGATTTTGGAGTATTTCAGATTTTGAAATTCTGGATAAGGGATGTTCAACCTGTATTTGCATTAGAAAATAAAGTGAATAATATACCTAGTCCATAGTGAAGAGAAAAGGACAGAAAATCCAATAAGGATTCGTTCCATAAGTCGAAGTTGAATATATAAAAACAATGCACCAAGGTTTTCTGACTAATATATCTATTTTAATCTTCTAGTAACTATTGAATCTAATGCTTTCCAGTTAAAAATGGGAACACACATACAAGTATGACAGGCTTTGTATGTATGTCAGTGCATGCAAATTAGAGAGATATATTTCTGCCGATTTTAATGAGATTGGAACCCAGTTTAAATACATCAAAAAGGAGAAGGGGTCGGCAACTAATTCTTGCTCTTTGGTAGAAATTTGCTCATTGGTTGAAATTCATGTTACCTTATCTGACACTGTTGGATGAACAGTTGAAAATGTAACTGTGAGTGTGAAGGAAATAATAGTACAGTGAATCCTCGGTATCCCCTGAGTTTTGGTTCCAGGCTCATCTATGGCTACCAAAATCTGTGAATGCTTAAGTACTATTATATACAATAGCATAGAAAAATGGCAAAATCAAAGTTTGCTTTTTGGATTTTTTGAACATATTTTCAAACCATGGATAATTTAATCCATTATGCAGCACCTGTGGGTATAGACCTGGCTTGGGCAAACTTTGACCCTCCAAGTTTTTTGGACTTGAACTCCCACAATTCCTAACACCTGGTAGGCTATTAGAAATTATGGGAGCTGAAGTCCAAAACATCTGGAGGGCCAAAGTTTGCCCAGGCCTGGTATAGACAGCCAACAATACTCCTCAAACTTCCTGACATTTGTTCAAAACAGATAATTAATCACTGGCTTATCATGATGATCATCAACATAGTTTATTTCAATAAGTAACACACATTTTCACGTTATATAAAAGCCTTCTAAAGACACACCTATTTTCCAGTAAATATATGTATGTTTTCAAGAATGATCACTTTAATGCAGGCCCGTAGCCAGGATTTCGATTCGGGGGGGGGGGGGGGGGGCTGAGTCTGAGTGAAAGAGGGTCTACCCTAGCAAACCTTTTGTATCGTTACCCCAATACCCCCATACATATGGGATATATTGAGTATGGTGATCAGATCATGATATGACTAAACATAACAGTTCAAATAATGCACCAGTAAGGCCTTTTCGTGGACCACCATGAGAATTTGGGGGGGGGGCTGAAGCCCCTCAAGCCCCCCCTCTGGCTACATGCCTGCTTTAATGTAATCCATTGTCTTTAAATTATTTTTCCTCTACTGACACTTTGCTAAAATTTTTCCACTGATAAGTGATCTCTAAATTGTTGGTCACAAAAGCTTTATGGGTGGGCCTAGAACATTGCCAAAGAGACTGTATTTTTCTTAGGAGCTGAAAATGTTAGGCGATTCTAGACATGGGACTACACAATCAGGAAGTGTGTGTGTGTGTGTGTGTGTGTGGTGTGTGTGGCTTAATAATGAAAGAAGTCCATGAAAAGGTATGCGCCACAACATGATGTCAGAATATGGGCAAAATGGGTTGACACTTCTTGACATTAAGTTACAAATCCAACATATGCTATAACTGAAAAGTAGCATTTGGATCAATAGTAATCTAAAAACAAGAGTACATTAAGACTGACATTTGACATTCCCAGTTAATTTCCCATACAAGCACGATTGTAATGGAGGCCATTTTTCTAATGAAACTTGCACAACTGCTGTACCCAAAGAAAAACAAACAAACAAAAACCCCACTAAAATGGCTGTGTATTTGCACACATGGTTGCAATTAACAAGTTTGTGTGTTAAAGCAATAAGCTGTCCACACACAAAATTGCGGGCCAAGGAAGCTATAGGGTTAAAAAGGGTTACACTGCCATGTTTGGTTATATTAGAAAATGTGAGAAATGAAATAGGAGAGGTCTTCTAAAGATGTGATGATTTTTTTTTGGTTTAGTAGAAAATAGGAATATGAAAGTGTTCTTCTCCACACATTAAATTTTCCTTATTCATAGCTGACAACAACCATAACCACCAGAACTTTGGCATACAGCTGTCTCAGAACCGCTGCCCAAAATAATTGCTGCCTGAATGCCCCAGGGACCTCATCACATTAGAGCATGAATCCACTTTAAATCGTGTGGCTGTCTCCTGAAGAATTCTGGGGCTTTTGGTTTAGGGGGGTGCCTTTAAACTGCTCAGCCAGGCAGGTCCTGAGCCTCACTAAACAGCAAACCCCAGAATTCTGCAGGAGGCAGAAACCAGATTTAAAGTGGATCCATGCTCTAATGTGATGAAGCTGCTGCAGGTTAAGATCTGTCAACGTCTTTGGGCACTTGGAGACAATCCTGTGAAATGCATCTTCTTGGAAAAAATATAGAAATATAGAAAAACAAATAAGAAATTTCATGCTCTTTCATGATAGCCCCAAACAACTGCTTGAAGAAGCCAACTAACTATATCTAATGATAGGGTTCCTCCTGCATGGCATATGAATGTTTTCTTCTCTGCAAAATTTCCCCTCCATTTCCAGTAATTTGGATGAGCATGAAAGGGAATAAAACTTTGTATGATGCACACTCCCTGACATGCATTCAGTCCGCCTTTCCTCCTGGCACCTAGCATACAAGCAGTAGTACTTTAAAGAATCAATTATTGCAAACAGATCAGTGTGGAAATAGCTTTTCATCCTAGTAGCAGTGACATCACAATTCTGGATACATGAGGACATCTCTAAGAGAAAATGGGAATGAGAGCAGGGGTAGTACTGATGTCAGAAGTGTATTTGTGTATTGGAGACTC